CCGCCGGGCCCGTGCGCCCCGCGGGAGGCTGCTCCATAACGGCACCTTGTCCAGCCCGCTGGCGGGCTGCTGGCCCCAAGCAAGCACCCCGTGTCCGCGCCTCTGCCCCTGCAGAACAAAGCACAGCTTTTCCGTACACGTGCAGCACGAGGGTTAGTTACAAGACCAGTGAGAAGCCCGCGTCAGCCTGTGTGGAAAAGCTTGTTGTCAGGAACTGAATGTCCAAAAAGGAGACGGGAGTCCCAGAACTTCCTTGGAATAAAGGGAGAGCCCCTCGGCTGTACCCTGGAGGGTCTCTCTAACTGCTGGAGGATGTAGCCTGTTTTTATCCTTATTTCCCGACCAAGGTGGCCTTCTCCTTCTCCCCACTGGCCCAGGTACCCAGCAGTTACAGGCATCCCAGCCAGCTATACCCACCTCCCTGCCTCCATCCTCCTGCTCTCACCTGCGGGCACCTGACTCCCTTGTCCCCTCGCTCATGGCTCCGCTCAGTCTTCCCCCTGCCTACATTCCTGTGTCTCACTCCTTACCCAAGAATGAAGGTAACTCCCGTACTTGTAAAGACATAAAATTGTGTGTTCGCTCAACAGGACCTCTTAATCACAGAACAGTTGAGGTTGGAAGGGACCTCTAGAGATGCTCTAGTCCAACCCCTGCTCCAGCAGGGACACCCAGAGCATGGGGCACCCGGTCACATCCAGCAAAGGCTGGAAGATACCCAGAGCAGGAGCCTCCTCAGCCTGCCTGGGCAGCCTGTGCCAGGGCTCGGGCACCCTCACAGGAAGGAAGTTCTTCCTCACATGCAGATAGAACTGCCTGGGTTTCAGTTTGTACCCATTGCCCCTTGTCCTGTCACCGGCCACCACTGAGAAGAGCTTGGCCCCTTCCTCCCTACATTCTCCTCTCAGGTACTTAGACATATTGATCAGATCCCCTCTCAGTCTTCTCCAGGCTAAACAGGCCTCAAAAACAGCTCACAAAAAATATTGAAAGAGTTTTGGGGAAATGTAAAGCAAATTAAGGGCATTTCTTCGTAAACTCATAAAAGTTGCAAAAATCTACGAGATTCTGGTGATTTTTATCACTTGTAACCTGCCTTTTTAACCTCCATTACACTCACACCTACTCCCCTTCTTTACCCTCTGCCCCTGTTTACCCTTAGTCCTTCTCAACCAGTCCCACAGTAGATAATTCAGGGGAATACACAACAAGGTCACTTTACAGTGACTTCTACGTATCAAAATACTGCTCAATGACAAATGTCATGAATACCTAAAACAAGTCAAATATAATTTAAAAGGAAAAATCAAGCAGCAGTACCTTGGGTGGGCCTACAGGCTTTGTTTCCTTCCTCAGATTTGCCTCTCGATGGAACATTTCATGTGGAAAAGTGACAAATCAATGTTGAAGATGATCTACCTTTTCTCATCTTTCTGTTCGCTTGGTGTAGAGACAACTCTTCTCTTCTACAGGTGTAGGCTTTAACTGCACCTCTTTGGAAAATAATGTTTCATTCTCTTGTTTTAGGAAGAAATCTCTCATCTCTATAGTCTTGCAGCACTTCTTTCAAACGGACTTAATAACTTTCCAGTTCAACTGGCATCTCCTCTGCTATTTCATTTTTTTTCTATACACCCACAATTTCTAAAACGCTCCAAATTACTATCTGCATGCAGAATAGAAGGATGCAAAGATCAACTTCATCAGAAGGATTATTCCTGCGTGTTAATACAGAGGAATGGACAATGATCAGTGAGAAATACAGCTCAGTTATGGTGACATTTAATGTAGCCATTCATTACACAGAGATACCACTAAAGAACCTCCAGCAGATGCCTTTACATGATTCATGATCATCATCAATACTGTTACCATAAACCTTCTTGACCATAGCTGCATGCATACACTTACCCAATGAAAAATTTCTTCACGTGACCTGGGTGCTTTCAAGAAATCAAGTTCCTTGAATATATCAAAATGCTACACAAGTCCTTGCACTTGTGCAACTAAAAATCAACAAAGCAATGAGAAAAGTGTAAAAAGTTAACCATGGTGGACCAAAGAAGAGTGAGGAAAGAAAATGGTTGAGTCTAAAGTTACCTATATGCATCAGCAGCAAAGAGATGAAGCCTTAAATACACATATCTTAAACACAAACAAAAAACTCTCAAAAAAGTATGTATGTGGACACAGACGCTGAAAACAAAAACTTAAAAAAAAAAAAGCATTTCTAGAACATTCCAAGATTTATCCTGTTCAGAATCCTGCTGCCAACAAGAATCAAAAAACAAAGCCAAGGAAAGCTCACAACCACAGCCAATGTGATACTTGTAATACTTCAGCTAGCACGTTGAGCCTTCGACCTTTTACAAGTCATGGACATTCTGAGCTAAATGGCTTCAGTTGGGAACCCCAGTTGAACTGCTAAACTCTGCAGTTTTCCTCGGCCTCCACGTTGTTTTAGCATTCATGCAGTGATGTGGCACCAGGTTTCACTGCTCAGCTCTGGGAGAACTATTTTCTTTTGCTGGTGTTGAACATAACTTACTAGCTGCTTTACCTCCTCCAGAGGATCTGATAGAACTAGCACAATATTAATTCCTTCTAGCACAGTTCCACGATGGATTTCTCCATCCATCCCTGAAAAGAATACTCATCAAACCTGGTGTCTGGGGCCTCTTGTAGGGCTCCTGCTGGTTTCCTGGAGATACATGAATAGCCAAGAATGCTTTAATCCTTCTGCATTTAGTAATAACGTTGTGGCCTTCATCCTGGCACCTGTAACAGTCTTGGAGAGAATGAATTGACACCGCTCCTAATTGTACATTTTTCTTCTACTTGTTGATGTTTTCTAACATCTGTGCCAGAATTTAAGATATCAAGTCCTAAATATCTACATTTTTAAACGTGTAAGGGAGAAAAACCCTCATGTAAACTATATTTACTTTGACCAAGGAAATGGATGGAAGAATTACCAGAAATAATTATCTATATTAGTTACGTTAAGTTTCAGTTGAGCAAAGGAAAAATGGCCAATACAATTCAGAACATTCCTTGCATCAGATTGTTTATGAGTGTTTCTTTCACAACCAGGACGAGCTTGAATTGATTCAACTTCTAGATACTAGAGAATGCAATGACCAAAAACGACACAAGCACAAAATGTAAGTGCAGATAATTCAGTTTATTGAAGTCCAAATTTACAACTGAAGTTTACAACTTTTTACCCAAAACAAAAGCTTTGTTTGAATTTAGGAAGAATAAATGTTCTTTTTAATAATGTACAGACTATATCTCTTAAATAAGTTATTATCTTTGAAAAAAGAGCAATATGTTCCTTTTTTAATGTTGCAGTGCAACTTACAACTTACACGTCTGTGCAATGTACCATGAGGTATATGCCCAGTGAGCAACACACAGTGAAGTTTTCCATTCATAAATTTTCATTATAGACACACAAAAAGTTAACAAGTTAATCTGTGATAGAAAAAATGCAGCCAGTTACAGTAATTCACACAGAACTCACCTGAAAAAAAAAGGAAAAAAAGAAACCTAACATTCACTGCCTATAGAAACTATTGGATCATCTCTGAACATAGACAAGTATAAAATTAAAAATACTGCTGTGAAACTGAAGAAATACTGTATTATCCAGGGGTTGAAACCTAGTTTTACCTGCGTTAGTCTACAGCAGTGGATTTTCTATCTCTGTAGCACAAATGAGCTGAGGGACTTTTCTACAGAACCTGTGGAGTACCTGCTCAGGGAAGGGCTTAAAGCAAGATGGCAGTTATATAAAAGTTTCAGAATATTCATGAACTATGACAGCACTCAAACACTTTCCCGGCATAGACAGATAATCTACTATTACCTCTCAGTTCACCTCACAGCTGATGAGATAAAACAAGGCTGAAACATGGAAGATTCACTCATCTTTGAAGTTTGGACACTTCAAACTTCTTCTCGAGATGGCTCTTACTAAAATATTTATTTTCCTTAGGGACAGAAAACATATTTTAGAAAGAATCAACCACAACAAAACTTTGTGATAAATAACAGTTCTGCCTCTAATACATATATACATACTGCTTGTAAACAAAAAATGCCCAGGAGTCATGGAGTCTCCATGATTTTTATACAAGGCGCTATAGTTCTTTTTGTTGTTGTTGTTCTTATTGAAAACAGTCCTAGAGAAAGTTTGGTTTAGATCCTTCTATTGCTACAGAAATAGTAAGAATGTTCATATTTACAAAGAAACGAAGACCATGGAGACCCCATAGCATTATTTGCGGAAGATTTTAAGTTAGTGGGGTTTTCACAATACACATTGTGAGCACGTTGAGATTAAATTAACAGTACAGGTTGAACACCAGCAGTATGACACTCCAGTGCTTTGGTATTTCAACCCCTGAATATACAAAGACATTACTACAGCCTACTTCACAGTTTAATGCAAGTAAAGTGCAAGCCATAGTACAAGGGTGTCATACATTTTCATACAGGTAAGCATTATCTAAAAAAGGCTCTCTATCCAAGTTTTATTAGCTACGTTAGTAAACTAGACAGAAGTCACCTATGGCCCAGCAATTAATGGTCGTACAAGGATATTTTCTTGTAATACAGTATGTGTCAAACGTAAAAAGTTTATTAATACTAGTGCACTTCTCTTGTATCCTAACCTGCTTTTTAGATTCTTAAATTGAAATCCTTGTTTCTCAGTAAAACAGAAGTCTTAACTGGTAACAGGGTCTCACTGTTATTTTGGCCAGTGAACAAGATTCGTTGATTAAGACATACTTGTTTTGTGGTTGCTAGTGACAAAAAATGCAGTAGAGCTAGTTTGTATAATGTGGCAACCTTATGTAATCTGCAGCATTCAAACAGATGCACTTACAGTTAGTACAAAGAGCTGTACTGATACCCTCACCAATGCCTGAGAATGAATAATATTCTAGAAATGTGAGGACAGCAGCTAGTGGGTGTTTCTGGTCAAACGATGCAATTGTCCACGTATTCACGTATTTTATCGTTTATATAACATTGCTTTCTTTCCACTACAGTGGCATTAATGCATTCAGCACAGTCGCCAGTTGTCACATAGGGTGCTTGTACATAGCTGAATAAAAGCAAACAAGCCCTCTTTGTCTCCTCAAGACAGGCCTGCATTAAGCATGAATACCTTTTTTTTTCCTGAAGACAATGACAGGCAGGAGTTTTTAAAGGTTTTCTATGTTTCTATTCCATCTAGATTACAGTGGTCTCTCAGCTATGTCGAGCACTGACAAAATCTTAGCATTTATTTTAATCTTTCTTCTAAACAAGGAAGTATGGTGTAACAGGTAACATGTAGAAGGTAACCTTCATGAAAAAATGCCTCTTCATCTATGAGTTATAGAGAATTGGTTGCCTGCACCTTAGTGAATGGAACTGATGAGAATTTCAGGACTCTCTTTCTATTTTATGGGAGTCAAGGAAATAGCTTTTTAAAAAATCAACCAACAAAATAAGACTGGATTTTCTGTAACAATGTATTTATCACTTCTCCTGAAAAATACTGCTAGTATGGCTCAGGTTTGATTTTTTTAATACCTATCAAGATAACCTCCATGGAGAGCCTGTCTCACAGTGTAAATTTATCTGCGATAAAAGCAGAGAGGAAATCTAGCTTACCTAGGGGAACTGCTACTCCAAACCTTAGCTTTAATGAGGAAAATATTATACAAGAATATGAACTATGTTTTTGAATGAATGAATGACCTAATATTGCTCCTTAAAACCTCCCTGTTATTACCCATTTCTTGTACGGTGGGTCAATAACCATCATTTGACATTACAGAAGAGAGCTCATCTCCAAGGAGATAATAAGCTCAGTGGTCTAAGGCATGTGGAACATTTGCTACAAAGCTGCATTTCAAAACACAGAAGCAGTACTATGTGTTGCTATTGTGTCATTCTTCCCTCCCTATAAAGGCTCAATTTTCCTCTTTTGAAAAACTAGACTCAAGTAAATTATCCCATATGAGACAAATTTATCACATATTTCTCTGTCATTGGTCTACTGGAACTTGGGCCTCCTCATAGGAGTATTTTCAGGACAGAGACCCAATCATACAAAAAGAGCTATGCCCTCCTGCTTGAGGATTTTTTCCAGGACTGGGTCCACAAACACTAGCCTTTCCAGACAGAGATGTGTTTATGCTAGTACATTGCTGTTTAGCCTAATTTAGCCTAAAATTAGACATCATTGCTACTATACTTCTTTGGGGGGTAGCTGGCAGGCATAGTAGATCAATGCCTGGGGCTTCGTTTTGGTTGATGCTAAGTTTTTGTGCTGCATCCTGCCTTCGTGCAGGGTCCTGTCGAAACCCAAGGCCGTTTTACAGGACCGACCGCTCCAGCTCTGGCTGCCCTCACATGAAGGCTGCCCCAAACATCGTGGATCAGGAACACAGGATCAGGAAACAGCTCAGTCTGACAGAGCTGCCCAGCAGCCAGGTTTTACCAGGATGTGCTGAGCCCACACATACAGGATCCTCATCCAAGTACCACCACATTTGAGTGGGGAGAAACGGTTTCATTACTTTGGAAGACGGGTGAGACTGGAGGATGAAGAATATGGACAATAATGTGTGGGCGTAGGTCTCATTTATATTAATTCAGAGAGAGAACAGATGGAAGAATTTTCTTCATTCTCGTCAAATCTGTAGTGAGCTAAGCAGTTTTTACCAAAATCTTCACTTCTCTATCCAGAGTTTGGTGTCTACCCTACTGACAGTCCAACTGAAATCTTCTCAAAGTCAATAGTAAAACTCTACAAACTGTAGCAAGATTGAACAATTCCCAGAGCCTCTTTAAAATAACTCCTTCAAAGCTATCTATATCATAATCATTCACATAACTCTGAGTCAAAGAACCCTTTATTTTGACCTGAAAAGCAGTAATTGCCAAGGACAGCAAGAATAAAGCTAATTTGCTGTGTAGAGCTAGCAATTCCATGCAATGCTTTGGGATGTGTGAAATCTCCCTTTCATACCTGCACCACCTTTCTAGCTTGAAAGACAGCAGCCCAGATCATATTAAGAACTCCCTGCCTGGAAAAGAGATGACGTATCATCCTCCAAAGAGGATTTTGATAGAAAATGATGAGTCTGCTCTTTCCTTATGGTGCTGAAGCATAATGCAGTTGAGGTGCTCACAATCACACAGAATCACAGAATGCCTGAGGTTGGAAGGGACCTCTAGAGATCATCTAGTCCAACCCCGCTGCTCCAGCAGGGACACGTACAGCACATGGCACAGGGTGGCAATCAGTAAGGGCTAGATCAGAAGTTGACAAAACAGGGGCTTTTATTTTTTCTGCCAGTTAAGTGAAATAACCTCCTCTGATTGCTGTGAAGGCAAACATAATCCCACCTGGGCCGCTGGAGAGTACAGACCCAGTATCTGACTACTTCATTTATACTATAGAATCTAGATAGACAAACTGTTAAGAACCTCTTTCTTGGATTATTTCTTGTTCCTATTAATCAGCCTCAGTTCAGAAATACTTTCATTTAAGATACGTGAGAAGGAAAAAAAATCCAAGATCTCTCAGGAAGTGCCAAGGAAGGGCTTTGAGAACCAGGGAACTGCTTTGAGAAGCAGGACAGTTCTCAAAGATCAAAGAACGTAATTCAAAGAACACAGAACTACAGAGCTAAAAAAGGAATCAGCAGTTTAGGGGAATGACATCTGTTATTCTATATTAAAAAAAAAACAACAGAGAGTCAACTGATTCACTGATTGCTTTTCTGCAGTTAAAAATCTATCTAGGAGGACTTCTGAGAAGAGACACAAGATCTGAATAAATAGTAAACATCTATGTGTCCAGCTACACATCTGAAGAACCAGCTTCTCTCAAAGTTCAGGCAGACAATCCATCTCACTAATCATGTATTGTATTGGTGCTATTTCTTTTAATAAACTCCACAGCAAACTGTTTAGATCTTTTCTCACCTACACACCTTATATAATAATCTTTTTCTTACTTCACCGCACTGTTTTTCCCCACACTATGTGAAGTATTAAAGAGGTGAAATACAGAGATGATTTTTAGAGATCTCATATGAACAAGAGTTTGGAAAGAAAGAGCTCTCTGTGAGCACTGCTGCTGTTCAGTTCCACACTACTGTGTTGAGACAGCAAATATATCTAGATGGAGCTTTTACTTTTTGCATGAGTACTCCAACTCTTTGATGAAACCTGCAAACTACTGTTCTCTCCTATATTTTATCACTTTGGGTATTTATACAGAGGCGTCAGCGCATGCTTCACTTAAGCAAACCATGTCTAACAAGGTCCTGCTCCTTTGAAGTCACTGGAGTTTTGCTGTTCACTTCAATACTGCTGAACAGGCTAAATATGTCTCTGTCCTGCATGTTCTAGGCCAGTATTATCAGGAATTTGTTGCAATGATGGTGCGAATCAGGATGCTTTGAGAGTCTAAATGACCGTCAGTAATACTTCCTTATTAGCAACAGTAATGCTTCCCTATTTATAATATATGTTAGAATTACTTCAGATTATTGGTTGTTTAATCACTGCACGCACTGGGGTTCAAATAAATGCCAGTGCAAGCGAGATTATAAACCAAATCTGAGCTGTGTATCTACAGCTGTTCTGTGCACACTGTACTACGGAAACAGGACACTCTCTCCCTGCTCTGGCTTTGTGACTAATTAAATCTCTTCCTGGCAACGAGTACCTCTTTGAGACATATTTTTTTTCCCACATTTCGTTGGACTGTATAACTTTAACAATTCTCAATATATGAGAGACAGTAAGATTAATGTTGTGAAAATGCTTCCATGAATATTTGTGTTAATTTGCAAGTGAAAAGACTTCAACTGTATCCCCATTCCTTCTGTTCTGCTTTCTAGAAATATTCCAGCAAGCACAGCAAGCAAGCTCAGGGAAAACTGCAAATATACGTCTGAAAATTTATGTTGAGTAATATTCCAAAGGACAAGTATGTACTCCAAAACCTAAGTCTTAGAAACCATTCCCATCCAGACAAGAAAGGGAAATGCAGTATGTGCATCCCTTGTGTGTCTGCTCAAAGCCAATCAATACGGACTGGTTTCAAATGCTGTATTGAGTAACTTCTACCCACTTGCTAATGGGCTACCTACAGTTAAAAATTATTGCCATACATTACATAATGTGGAATAATTTATTCTGCTCTAGATGCCAGAATTTATTTGATCAGTTCAGGGTTTTTTGTTTGTGGTTCTCAGGTTTGAAGCAAGAGAACTTTTTTGAATTTTGTGACTCACAGGCTTGTGTCATGTGGATTCACAGTGAAGAAACCATGAAAACTGCAGTGGCTGCCACATGCAGCGCAGGTGGTTTGGGTTTTCTTCCCCACCACAAAATACTTCAGATTATATTAAAATCAGTTTAAGTTGCAGCATTAATGAACAACCCCCATTGTTCTACTCGTATCTTAACTCCTGTGCCACACCTGCTTGCTTATAGTCATTCAGGTTAAAGGCAGGCACATTATTTTACAAACACAGTATCTAAATGGCATGTACAGTATGCCCATAGGGCCACATTGGGATCCATTGCTAGATGTACAGTGTACATTTTAAGGCACACTATAGGGATTGAGTTTACATTTTGATAACTCTGTCCTTTATTGGCAAAGATGGTCACTATCTGGAAATGTTGCAAACATAAAAGTTCATCTCTAAGAGTGGCCAATACCTTTATGTCTCCATTGTGTATTTTTCTCAAGAAAGATGTGTGAAAGAGTGAATTTTAGGGCATTTTAAAAGTAAATGTCAACTACCATGTTACATTTTATATACATAGATATGTTTGCATATATATATATATCTAAATATATAAAATGATTGTAGGAGCTCATACTATAAGCTTAACTTGAGTACAGTACTTTAAATATACTGGAATTAATTTTCAGTTACACTTCTGCACTGCTTCTTTCTAATGCAGAGCTTGATAGGAACATCAGTTGATCTTACCCAATGAAAAATTCAGAAAGAGTATTATTGTCTTATCATGCAAGGTAGTAGGCATCCTGTGGCACTATTCTCTTATCCCACCTATTTACAATACTGCTGAGTACATGATTTATAAATATTACAGTGTTTGTCTTACTGGATTTTTCGCGGCCCCCAGCAGTTACTCACGGTGCTAGTCCTGTCACACGTGAGTTTCAATGAACGAATGTGTGTGTGTCAGCATCGGTGCTGAGGTTGCCAGTTCAGAGCCTCCGTTTTGCGATTTCAGAGCAGAACTGTACTCACAAATGTCCAGGAAAAACTCATAGTTCTTGAGTTTCCAATCTTTAAACTTCTTTGATGTTAAGTCGGGATCATCCAGAAGGCTGTTGATAACTGTGAGGTCTCCTTCCTTTGCCTATCAAATTCCAGAAAGACACAGCACATGTCACAATCAAATTTATGCCCCACTGTGTGAAAATAGGCATGAAACACCTTTTTTCGTTTTAACACAAAAGTCTAGGGATTATCATGACTGATCCTTAAAGCTTTTACCTGCTGGCATCTCTTACAGCTTAAGCTGTTTGAGAGTTCAGTTCTTTGCACTTTCAGCAACACGCCCCCCACAAATACTACTGAATTTTAGGTTTTAGCCAGAACAGTGTTTGTATCCTTGGAACTTAATTCTTAAGCTACAAAGAAGGTCCCCCCCTTGGAAATCGTTAAGAAATGATACTTAAGAAATGATAAATTCACCTCACTGATATACAACATGACTAATACAACCTTACTTTTAAAGTGCTCTTGAGGACTCTGATGTGGTGAAGCTTTTCATTGATAACCGGATCATTACATCTCTTTACGAAGGACTTGCGGAACTCCTGCTTGGTGGAAGGGCGCTGCTCTCCGAAAGCTGATAAGCTGGCTTCTTCCAGAGACTTGTACAGCTCTTGCAAACCGTCCGGATTCTCTTCGGTCTCAGTTTTGCTTTCTGAAAGGCAATACATAAATAACTCAATAATAAAGCCAACAATTCGGGCAGAATAGGAAAGACTCTAAAGCTTAGAGTCAGGGAAGACTACAGATCAGTATATAATAGTACAGTCTTCCAATATTCATTTTGATTAAAAAAAAGGAGCAGTCTCCTCAGCAGCAAAGTTGCATTACATCCAAGCACGTTAAATACAAATTCCAGGATAGAGACCGATGCCCCTGACAAAATAGAGCAGTCCAACTAGAAAAGCCTTGCTGAGAATACTCATATTCCTTTAGCATATTAATCCTAATCTTTCTTTCTATGGCAGCAAGAAAACTTACCTTCTGTACAAAAGCTATTATGCCTTCTAATAAGTACGTTCTCTTCTGTCTTTTCTTCTGCTGCTTCCGTGGACTTCATACGCCCCTTAACACGGACATCTCTGTTTCGTGGGAGGCTCTGACTCCGTTGCTTCTGTGGCCTATGGAAGCTATGTCCTCTGGGACACTCTGCCAAGGGGAAAGGCCCGTCCCGCTCGTGATTGTGACGCCTCTGAACGGGCAGCGTCGCCTGTCTTCGTTTCTCTGGTGACATTCCAGGCCGGCCGCTCAGGTATTCTGTATCAGGAGGGACAGTCTGAAGAAAATGGAGCCCTGAACTGGTTAGTGGGGTCTCTATGAGATCCTGCCAGGAACGTCTTTCTCGGTAGGGAGGTCTGCACCCGGACGAGTGCGTGCTGCCCGCTGCGTCTGGCCGCGAGTCCTCTGCGGAAGAGTGCGAGTACGTTGACTCACTGGAAAAGTGCCGACCCTGCTTGGCTTCGGGAAACGGACTTGAAGAATTCACCTGAAAACAAACAGCAGCAGCCAACTTGAAGACCTCCCTTTGCACAGACCCAGGAGAATCACTGTTGCTGTAGAACACTATATGATATACCAATAACATGACCTTGTGTTTGTTTTGATATGCCATAAATATAAAGTTCTCTTTCTCTCTCAGAAAAGACCTAACTACCAATTCAATCTTCTGTCCAAGGGTGATTTTTCAACCACTCCCTATTCTTGTTTTGCACATTCCCTGCCCATGAGCAATGTCTGCTGGAAACAGTGCTGGGAACAGCACAGGTTTTCTGAAGACCTGCCCAGCCTGCACACAGTCCAGCAGTGCGATATGAACACATGAAAGCCCCCGAAGAAACAATATAAATGGATTTCTCTTAAATGGACAAATATTTCAGCCACACGGGAAAGAAATACTTCAGCATCCAGGAAGATTTTTGAATTTGGTTGCTGAACTTATCAAATAATTTTAATTAAGTTCTACTGGTCTGTGTATAATTTTAATCCAAAAAATAAAGAGAAAGGCCAAAAAAGTCAAAAAACAGAAAGAGAGCATCTTAGCCTGTATACCAGTTGATAAAACAGCATCACAGGGGTGAAAAAATCAGTCTGAACTTCACCGCTGGGATGCTGTTGTCTCAGTCACTTTTTCTTTGGTTCTGACTGTGTGAGGATCATGTCATTCATGCTGAAGAAAAACAGGAAGAAAAACAGACAACAGTCCTTAGAAACACAGATGTGCTTAGAAACATAGATGAATTATTGGAGTCTACATTCTGGATATTAGAAATGTTCTACTATGAAAACTTGTTTATATACAAAATAGTATTACCTTTTTCCCAGTTATCAAAGCCTGTCTCTACACAATATATGAGAAGTGTTTTTAGTAGCTACTTCACATCTTATGACACTGTTATAGAGAATACTGCAAACATAACATTTCTTTATACAGAGCTTCATTTTGCAAGCAACTTACCTCTGAAGAGATGTTCTTAAACAGAAGTATTTCATACTAAAACATGAGTATTATATGAATGTGATCTAATCTTAATTTACTATAAACTAGTCTCGGTTAATACAAACTATTCCATTCACCACTTTCTTCTTGCACTTGGCAGTAAAGACAACATTTGAATTCTCTCGGTGTTGGCTATGGTTTTCTACACCCTCCAAGCACCTGTCATAGCTCTGCTGTAGTGAAGGAGCTGGGTAAGGAGACGTTTGTCTCTCCTGTCTTTGAAACGGCTTATTTTAGAAACAAGTGATCACTTTGTGATAAACAGCAGGACTTGATTCTTTAAATGAGCTCCGTCTCCCATTTTTGGGTGACTTAGAACCAAATGCAGTAGTTAAGACTCACAGAGGGTGTTCGATGGTAAGTGTCACACAGTGTTGAAGAGCCTTCCTGCTTCAGCGTCGAAGAGCCATCCACATCGTCCTGGTCGCTTTCACTCCAGTAATCTGCGAACAGAAATCCAGGTTTCACCTGTGGGTTTCCTCACAGAAAGCCTAGGCACTGCGTGCAACACGCCACGAGCAAGCAAAGGTAACGATGCCACAGTCACAGTCAGCCAGGTGCCTTGGCAGCCGCTACGGAGCAGGCTTCTGCAAATGCCTAGTACCTAAAATGCACAGATGCACACAGGGCTTTCACATACCTTCTGGCAGTGTTCCAGAGAGCAGCTTACGCACCTAATTCCCACCGTACATAAAAGTCTTTTCCAGCCAAAGACTTTTAAAGGCAAAATTTGCAACAAATGCTAAAGCTGAGCTGGGCTGAACATTTAGTTCAACTGTCATTAAAAGACAGATTCCACCAAGGCAGGAGAAAAAGTGCCTCCCCTGAGCTCGGAACATGCTGAGCTCAGTGACTGCGACATCAATCACACAACTGGACTGCTCCAATTTGGGAGCTCATAGCTCAGTTTGAATCTAATATTCTGTTTACCACTTGTGTTAGTATTTTTTCAAATTATTATTCTTCCCCTATTTTCTGTATTCTCTGTATTCTTTCTCTGTATTTTCTCTGCTGAAGGCACTATTAGATATAGTGGATATAGAAAGGATCTTAGTTCTCATGATGTGGATGTTTTCAAAGACATGGCACATATGCTAGTAGGGGTAGTTACAATGCGTCCTACTTGGTTCCTGTAACGAAGAGATGTGCACTCTCTTGCTCTCCTATCCTAATTACATTGCCAGAAGTGTTACCTTCATCTGGATGAACATCCTTGTCATCAGGTGTGTAACCAATTGCTGCGAGGCCCAGACGATTCATCCATCTAACAGGATGAGGAAGAAGGATATTTAACATTAACATCCAAGATAAAGGTGAGAACATGCACATTCTTATAAATCATTGCTCTAAAAACAAAAATCAACAACAAAACCCCCAAACCAAAAAACACTCTTTAGACTGTGGAAAATGGTGCAAAACAATTTCAAGTTAAGTCAAGGATATTCCAGTTTAAATACAGTCCAGATCTGGTCTCCCATCCACATCGCCTGAATGATGCCTGCAACAGTGGACTATCAGACTTCCTGCATTTTCCTTTGCTGAATAAAAACCTGAAGAGTCACAGTAACAGTGCTTCTCATGTCACAAAAAAACCCCACAAAGTGTACAAACTAAGATATTAATTAATAATTTTCTATGGGATTTTTAGCAGACATGCTGTTTACGACAATTCTTAACTCTGTCTCCCCCTTAAATAGCATGAAAGTCTCTCTGAGCTGCATGTACCAACCATTTGCATGGAATGACTGCAGACACTTGGCATAAAGGTGCACATTGCATTTATTCTGCTTGCCATTTCCATTAATTTCAAGGCATTTCCTGAACATACTAGTAAAATACTATAAAAAGAAATATAGTGATGATCATAGTTGTATGGAAACCTGTCCTAGGATATAAATTGCATGAAATTTGTATACTCAGAAAGCTAGAATGGTCTGTAACATTAGATCACTGATTTAGTTAGTTGAGATTTATGACACTGGTATCAGTTTTAATGTTTGTACATATGGGATTTTTTTTTTAAATACAAAGTATTAAGTTTCTAAAAGGAGACTTAGTTTTAGTGTCCTCTGGAGGCAGCTATTTCATTTTAACACCGGAAATTGGTCGACAATTTTAGCTGATAAATTATATCATGACAAAACATCTTGTAAAGACTTTTCACAGAAGACATTAATAAAGGACAATTTTTGTGCAGTACAATTGATCAGTGTAATCCTTTTCTGCTTTTACTAGAACAAAATAAGCTTGTAGGGAGCTATGTGAATATATTCTTTGTGCAATGGCACAGTTCATGAGCAACAGTATACAGTGCAAAGAGGGAAAGGGATGAAAAGTCAACTCTGCTGAACACAAACCCAGCATCCACTGATCTCCAGCTCAAAGCAACGTGCTGCAGTTCTCAGATCAACCATCTGCTGTAAGACCACATCTAACATTGACTCCTTGTGCAGCAAATGACCATATCGATGTCATGACTTCCTTAAATACCCACGAGCGAAAAAAACAGACTTGCTTCTCATATAGAGTTAGTACTTGCTAAAGTAAAAATACTGAAAACTGCACAATAATATTGCTCTGCCTTTCAACAGTAAGTAATAAAATAAGGTCATTAGTTTTCACAATTATCAACTGCAAGGTTAAAAGTATCTATAGACAGTGACATAGTTCATATCAACATGGCAATTACTCATTTTACTACAGTGAAGGAAGCAAATTTCAAAGGGATTAACAGCCTGACTGAACAGCCTGCTTTCTACAGAGCTCTCACCATAAATCCACTCAACAAAGGGCATGCTCATCACTGGAGTGACATTTGCTTCTCTTGAAAAGCACATTATTTACTGCAGTAAATGAAATGACAGCCTACCCTACGCATTCCTAAGCATTTGTATTCACTGTTTTTAACTATTTTCCAGTACCTGCTGAACGAGCTGCTTCCAATGTTATTTTTTTTCTAATCAAGGAAGCTGCTTCCATTTTCACGAAGCTTGCGCAGAGGTTCCGCAGGCGGCCGCTCCAGCTCGGCGCGCGCCGGCACCGTGGGCACCACACGCTGCCCGTTGGCAAGCGCCGAGCGCGGACGGCAAAGGCGCCGCGTGCCAGAACGAGCACCTTTTCAGGCCTAGGTGGCTGCATGTTCAATCAAAGACCAGGCAGTGCAAGACCATCTGCTACCCCGACCAAGCTGCTTCAGTGAAAACGCAGCAGATAACTTGTCTGTTTTGTTTAATACAGCTGTTCCTCTCACAGCTCTTGCAATTCCATGGGATCACAAGGAGACATGACACATCCTGGCAGGTATGGGGCTATCCATCCTACATATATATCCTGGCTCCCTCACTTCCTCCACAAAAATCTAGCTTTTTTTTTTCCTGCTTTGATAGATGTTCCTTACCATACTTACCATACCATACCTTACCATACCATGCAGGTAAATTCTGCATTTGTCTTAGTGGGTTTAGTTCTAAATAACCAGACTCTGCTTGAATTCATTCTGTTGATTAGAGACAGACACCACTGTCATTGCTCTGGGATAAATCAGAGCTGCATGGTAGGATGTTACGTTAAATTTAGTGAGATAAATTCTGGTTAGTATCAGGGAATGACAGCCCAAGGACTGTTCTGAGAGCCTGACTCCAGCCCAAGGCCTAGAAAGGGAGCTTTGCAAGGAGACTGAGGGCAGGCAGGGACTAAGGAGCTTTGACAATAATCCAAACTTGATAGCAGAGAGTGACTCATGCTTGAAAGGCCCTGAATTGTCTCCTCAAGGCAGAGTCTGGAGCACATTCCCTTACTGATCATCTAATGAAAACACTGGAGAAATGGACCAAACAGACAGGAAATGTTTCCATACAGCTTTACAGTTCTAATACACTCCATTAAAAACAAAAAATGCCATTACTTCTTATATAAATGCGGCAAATATTTGACCAATCCGACCAACATAATTCCCCAAGATGAGCATAGTAATAGACCAATACAAGGGCTTGGTAACTGTGGGGGACTGAAGGCAATTTTCCTCTTTCCTTAGCAATTTTTCATCGTCCTGCAAGAGAAAGGAGCAACCTAGACATGAGGGTATGTTTTTATTAATGGTGTTGGAAGAATTTTCATTGCCTTGATGTGCGATCAGATGTCCTAAGCATAATTATGTCGCTTATATAAAACAGAGAGGAGAAGCAAAACAGAATGCCAAATACTTAGTTAGATCATTTTATTTAAGGAAAGTGGTAACAAAGCTCAAGAAAAAAAAAATGACCATGGCAAAAGGCTGAGATACGACCATGTTTAAAAAAAAAAAAAAGGAGAAAAAAAAAAAGAGATTGGAAAGATCAGAGAGAACCACTGGTGCTGTTCTGGAACATACTTAGAATTGGAGGAGTAAGGTGGAACATGCACAAAAGCCAAAACTAAGCTAATTTAATTCATCAAAATGCTTTGATTAAAATGAGTTCTGGTATTAAGAATGGCTGGGGGAAGAAAAAAGAAATGTTTAATTAAGCATGTATTTCTTCTGAGGCTAGAAAAAGAAGTATGGCTGGAAGAGGAAGGAGAAATGTACACAGAAAACAGACTGGATTATGCCAGGAAAGGATCTGGGAAGACTAGGGGAGCAGTCTTACAACGAACAAAAATTGAGTGAACTAACATGCTGCAGTTGTACATAATGTTAATGTCGATGTTTAGACAAAGATTTATTTTTTTCCTCCACTTTTGAGGCTTATCTGCCAATACAAAGGAACAGGATTCCTATTTGAAAAATGTTTCTTGGTATTTCTCTCTGCATTTCACTGGATAAGAGGACAGGAGAGGAAGAGCTCTTTGGGTTTTTTCTGCTCTATTTCTTAAAGAACAGCTAAAATTAGGACAGCCAGATCAGAAAGGATTACTCTTCTGCTCCTTTCTCCAGGAACTCTTAAGAATGGCATCTGGCTCAACTTTCAGTTGCAAAGGACTTTTCTTAGGTGTTAATTTTGTTTGAGTGAAAATGGAAGTAAATGAAACTCTAAAAGATCTATTATTACTGGCCCAATGAGTGAACTGACAAAAACCTGTCAGGAGGCAGGCTAGCATGCCCAAGACAGAAAGAAGAATTTCAGAAATAAAAATAAATAAATGAATAAAAAGGATGACTTCATGAAAGCCTTGAGTAACTTGTCAGTATTCCACAGATAAAAGTATGGACAACAGGCACCCTGAATTTATCATCAGTAGAAACTGATTTCAAAATCCCTCAGTTTTGAAAGATTCTCATTAAAAGAAAGACTATAGCACAAAATGTTCAGGTCTTGCAAAAAAGTGTGAAGGGACCATTCTGATATCTATCACTCTTTGCTTCAGTGAGTAGCAGGTATTTGTATTTTTGAATGAATCCAAAAAATGTATGGGAGTTATTTACACTGCAAAATTAGTCCCGTTACTCAAATCAAATGTTATCAAATTATTCAGACTATAAACAGCAGCTGTAGCTTTTACTTAACATTATTTAATATTTATTTAACATTTGACTAGGTTTGACAATTCACTGCACTGCCTACTTTATGTGCAGGGAAATAAAGAGTGCAACTAGAGTGTTAAATTTGGTTCTAGTTTCCTCAAAAATATTAAGCACACAAATAAGATGTGCATGGTGTGATAATGATCAAACCTGGAGCACCACTGGACCATGCCAAGCAAAAGAGGAGTCCATCAAGTGCATTATTAATTCATTCCTAGGAATACAACTATGTCTACTCGTGTAGACCTGACGGAACAGCATGAGCATTAATTTTGCAAAGCAAAGTCTGTCTGCAACATGCAGCACAGCAGGCAAAATTCAGCAGCAATAGAGTAACTGTCTGCTTCAAACAAATCCATTACTATCAATTGGTACGTAATTCTTTCAAAAATAACACAGTATTAAAATCAGATGAAAATATTCTGCAGTATAAAACCTAATTTAGACCATAGTGAACCTGAAGCAAGAAAGTGAGTAATAGGAGCTGTTGAAAGAAAAGCTGCTGGTAAATGCAACTGAAAACAATATATGTGCTCCCTGCATAGTAAATAAAGAAACACTATGCTTTTGTTTTTCAGATTAGGGCTACTTTACTTGTCAGTGTAAAAGACTTGCATAGCTATTGCCATTGAAAATTCAATTAAATCTTGTGGTGAAAAGCTGAAGTGCAAGATAAAGTGCCGAGTATTTACCCTCTATCCTCAGAACACATGGTTAGCACTTTGTTGGGAAGAAAGAGAAAACCGCAAATACTAATTTGCCAAATCATCTCACCATCAAAATCATCATGGATGAGCAGGGGAATCACAGAGCCAGCACACCCATCAGTTAGCTGGGCTGGGCCCTGGAACTGCAGTTGCCTGCCCCATGAAAGCAAAGATCATCTCTGAAATTCAAACACCAATCTTGCAAATGATTTCACTATTTTCAGTTGTAACAGAATATTCTGATTATGTTGAAAAAATTGACTTTTTATGATTTATGCTGGCATGAATAAGTGCATCCTAATCCATTCCTCTTAAAAAGCGGTCATGTTATGTTACCATGTTACATTTGTGTAATTGTGCCATGTGGCATGACACAAAACCTCAACAGGTGTAAAATGAGCTATACAATAGAATATTGCAATACCTAGAATTAGTAGTGGACTAAATGAACTAATTATACTTATAACATTACCAACTAACATTACATGATGCTCCAAAAGTCTATTTCTAGATGAGATGGCTTTTTTTCCAATTATTAGAGTATTATGATGCAGAATATATAAACTTACCTATTCATTTCTTCAAGACAGTCTGTTGCAAAGTAGAAGCTCTTAATTTTGGGGTGGCATGCTTTGAAGGCACTGTAAAATAAGCACAAAGAACGGAAAAAAAATGCCTTTTCTTTCAAACAGTTTGTCTATATAGATAAGTAATACTAACCTGCTCTGATTCTTCAGCAAGTTGGTTTTCACAGCTATTTTGAAAGCTCAGCCTGAATCTCTCACCGTATAAACTTACAGACACGCTTCTACCAGTTGTCTGTAATTGTGAGCGCTATAGCTGGTATTAGGTAAAGACTTCAAAAGCTCTCCAATCACTTAGGAAATGTAAATCCCTTACAATAAAGGATATTATACCTCTAAAAACTACTTGGATGAATTTTTAAGTGTTATCGGGTGTATTTAAGTATATATTAGTTGCATTCCAGAGGTCAACTATTCTAGGAGAGTAAGAGTTGGATCCCATGGCCTTCTCTATTTAAATGGCTGTGGGATTGTGCCCTACTCAGACAAGGGAATAGAGGGCTGCCAACTCACTGCATTAAAGCTGCTCCGGAACTTTGGAATTGCACATCAGACACACATGAATTTGCCCAAAAATTTATCTTAACATTAATACAGAAGGAAGAGAGGGAATACAAAAATGACAAACCAGCTGGTGATTTTGTGCAACTTTTAAGATAGCATTACAAACACACCACTATTGACTTCTCTTTGCTTAAACATCAACAACTTGTCTTAGCAACTTAGCAAGAATCATTTAAATAAATGAGTATATTTCCTGAATTTGATACATTTTCTAAACCCTTAACAATCAGCTCTGCTCTTTTTGAATTTAACACAAACAATATGTAATTTTTGCTTCTTTTTGGTCATGTGCCTTGCTCGTTATCAGCACGTGTGTTTCTATTTTACTGCTTTTCAAATCTTACAGCCTCTTTGCATCTTTTTTGCGTACAGAAACAATGAGGTTTATCTGAGGTACTGAAGAACAGCAGGCCAAAAGCGACGCTGCACGACTGTGTTCCCGTGTGGCATGGCTACGTTCCTTCCCCAAAGGCCAATTCCTTGAGCGCTCGCCGGCCCCGTGCAGCTCGGCCGGACACGAGGGATTGCAGGAGACAAGCCGGGATTCGTGCCTGGGGCTGGCCGTGGGCAGGCATCACGGACGAACTCATTAACACGCTTTGTGTGTGAGCTCATTAATAACAAGCCCAGCATCTTACACACTGGCTGCCAGTGAATCGCCATGGGTTGCAATGAAATGTAGTGAAACGCAAGGGTGGTTGTATACATGAAAAAGCTTTTCATATAGAAAAGTTTTAAAAAAGATATAATCTCTGAAATCTCCCTTAGTTGACCAGTTCCTTCAAAGTTAAGAGCAATAAACTGCCCAGGCTTTTGTGTGTGTGTATTTGTGTGTGTATGTATGTATGTATCAAGGCACACTGAATTTCAAGATGTTCAAGAAAATTAAAGACTATGTTGTTCATTAGTTGAAACAAAAAACCAACCAACCAACCAACCCACCAAACTCACTACCATTCTTAACTGTCAGGGTAAAATACTGACCTCTACACAGTAATTACTAAATATAACGCTTAGGTTAAAAATCATCATACATAATATTATGACAAATCTGTGACGCAGGGTTATATTATTAATAGTTTAAAAGCAAATTAATGTCTTCTGATGTAGTATTATTAATAGAATTTTACACAATAGAATTTCCTAACAAATTTCACAAAAATTAACTCTGAAGAGATATTTCTGTGCTGTTTCATTTTTCATGAAAACAGATATATTAAGATTTTAATATAACATAGAGACAACTGTAAGCTTAAATTTCGGCAGGGGCCCATCATAAAGCATCTTAAATCCACAAAACCAGTCTTAAGAGTTATTTCTGTATTGGTACGACCAATTGGCCATTTCACCTGCAGATCCTAACTTCACTAACTACTTCTCATAATTAGAAGTATGTTGCTAACCTTTATTACAAGAATTTGTGGCAATTTAATGAAGTGAAAAGGCCAAAATATCCAACTCTTAGAAGTTTTGACCAGATTAAAAGAAATAAGCAATCAAAAGAGGCACGCTACTCTAGCAATTACTATAAATACTACCATCAAAGACTTCAATTAACAAACAGCACTGTGTTTTGCAGAAGAAATTAGTGATGACATGGAAATACCCGTTAGGATGGAAACTTCTCCGATGCCCACTAGATGGCATATGCTTGACAGTTATATGCACTGAATTTCAAGATTTTACTCCAAGAGATTTTGATCACTATATATTTTTTAATATACTCTGATCAATCTCATCAGCTTTACTATGTTAATATGATTTTAGCATGAAATATTCTAACAGTTGTTACTCTCCAGCTTTGTTATTCTTTTTACTACTTTTTATTCCCTTCATGACAGTTGACTACCAGCATTCTCCAGTTTCTCTAGCAAGGACATATAATATATGTAATTATACACACATATATCTACCAATGTGCACATTCACACACTAGGCATCTTCTTTATATATATTTTTTTATACTTGAAATAGAAAGTTAATGTTAAACAAAACATTCCTGCCTTGTTATACCACTTAAACACAATAGACTCCTTTCACAGGTTTTCTATCAGAAAACTCTGTTTTCAGATGCAACATCTCTGTTATATTTTTCCATTTGCCCCAACTATTTTCCAGCCCTGAGATTTAAGTTTCAGCTCATATTGCACAGACTCACGCGGTGGATCTGAAGTTTCTAATGCTCCTGATTAATCCTGTTAAAATTTCACATGACGGAGTTCCTGCTTGTAAATGTGACTGTTTTCCTATAAAGGAAGTTTTCATACGTGAAAGAATTTAAAATGACAATGCTGGATTTTCAGAGAGAACCTTTTAAAGGTTAGGATGTAACTGAGTTATAGCAATAAAGAGAAGTTGCCTTCAGCTCTGCTGTGCTCCCGGGTCCTTCTCAGCAGGGCTGCTCCCCTCTGCACCCTTGCAGGGGCCACTCACTCCCACGGGCAGGACGTTGCAAGGTCCTTGCTGAGTTTAAGACCTCCGTTAATTCATGCTCTCAACCTGTGCAGATCTTCTATGACAGCCCAGCCACTGACCTGACTGTTTCCCCAGTTCAGTTGTCACGTAAGCCACTAAGGCGGCACCAGCGACGTGTTTCACCATTTGGGAATGCTGTTCTGGGAGGGACATCTGCACTCTTTTAAATCTAGTTCCCTGCTATTTCGGGCACCGTAAGATTCAATCCTTTCCACGAAGAAAGCCAGAAAAAAATCCTGAACATAGGGCAGCTTTCAAAATGGGACTACATTTCTACCTACGTCATATCAATGAGATTTTATCAAGAATTTTCATTGCTCAGTTTCAATATGCAGTGCCAGTAAGTATGGCATACACACTCCCAATTTTAAGATTTAAATCTGCATTTATTATGTAATGGGAACTTTTACTAAGTTCACATTTTTTGAAAGTTCAAGGCAATTCATTACTTAGCAGCGCTTGCTTGCTTACTGATTTCCATTAAGTCTTGTGGATCAGCTTCATCAAAGGGCATCATAATTATCACTATTCTTGAAAATAATATGATATTCACATCAAAATTTAAATGACAGAATAATCTTACTGGAGTATAATCATTTTTAATCATGAAGATGCAGGCGGTGCCAAAGGCAACAAAAAGTTTTTCAGTGCCAACCTAAGAAATCTCCTCTAGCCGGGACAAGGTCATTCTACATCCAAATATAGCCTGAAATCATTACTGTGATTCTGGAGGAGAGCTAAAACAGTCTGAGATAATGTCATGATTCCTATAATAATCAGAGTACCTTCATTAAATGCATTAGTGAGGCAAATCAAACCATTCAGAATAATATACTCAATGACCATATATTCTCATCAAAACTTTCTTAAGGCTATTTCATTCAATGTGTCCTATGGACTTCAGCAACAGTGGCTCTATAAAACAGCACTCCAAGCCTGACAGCACTGGAAAAGAAAAATCTATTATTTTAAAAGACTTTACATTTCTAATTTGAATTAAGGAAGTCTTTACCTAATTAACATTTCCCCATCAATGGCTCTGAAATGAACAGAAATTTGAAGACCACCAAGCTCAGCTCCAAGGGCTGAAATAAAACTGAAGCTGAGATTTTAGCTGGACTTTGTTACGCACTAAAACACTAAGCACTCTCTTTAGACAATCTTAATTTACTTAAAAATATTTGAACATAAAAATACTTGTGTTTCACCTGCCCTTAATCATACTAAATATCAAGACAACTGCTTCACTGACTTTCTCAGCAGGATAGTTAAAATGCAATGCTAAAGGACAAAAACATTCTAAAGTAGAAAGAGGAACGAACAGATCTGGTAAGGACTGAAGACTCTCCTAGCTGCTTTTTGCTCTGCTCTACCAGAGGGAACAACGAAGCACTTGAAGTGTTGGAATTTTTCTGGATTGTGCTGGGTTGGAAGGGACCTAAAGAATGAGAGCACAGGAAGCTGTTCTGGTCTCCCAGAACTGCTGACTTGCAGTGGAATTAGGCAACAGGAAACACAGCCAGCCCTGTCCTCAGCAGGGAGGCTACACACAAAGGGATCGCTCTGTGCTGGGTGCTTACGGTGGTGGGAAGGACCCTCTGTTCATACAGCTGGATACACTGAAGCAAAACTCTTTGCAATAGCTTTCAGTTTGCATGACTCAGAGGAGTAAGAAAATAGTGGTTAAAATGTTGTTTTTATGACTGGAGAACTATATGAATGACAGACCATGAAGGAAGCAATCAAAGGCTAATTTTGTTAGTGGAACAAGAAATGATAATACCTTCCCATTTTTAACACTGGACCTACCCCTTCTTGCAAAGATTCAATGCCTGAAGGTACTCTGTTCTGAGCACTTGCAAAGCTTTAGGTGTTTTTTTCTTTCCTTTGTACATAGGTCTTGCAGAGATTGTTCTCTAAGAAGTGTTCTCTGCAGTGCTTAAAGCAAGTCTCTGGAAGCTATTTCCAGCTCTGCGCTATGACCCTGTATTTGATCTTTATTAATACATTGAAATTGCTCAAGTGTTTTATACTCTAACAAAAGGGCATGTTTTTTTCCTAGATATTTGTTCAACATGATTATTAATATCTACTCATAGCTCACAGGAATTTTATGGTGCTTGGTTTGTGTTTTTCTTCTAAGTGATATCTTCAGTTAAAAGGAGTAATAAAGGGGCAGAATTGCACTGCCTTCTACTTCTCAGATAAACAGTAACTATCCCCAAAGCTTCAGACCAAAGCAGGCAGTTGCAAAGGGCTGATTTTCTAATCAACACACTCTAGTACAATTTATATATTCAGCAGTCTCTCCATGTTCACAGCTGTAGGACATGTACAGCTGAGACTAAGACCATATTTAGTCATTAGAAAAGCATGACAAAAATTCAGGATGCTTAGTTTGAACTAGGAAAGCTTTGATCAGAGAGTACCATTAATGCTGCTCTACATAGCTCCAGAAGGTAGCAATCTTTAAATATCACAGATGCAGCAGATAGAAGACAGATGTAAGTCAGGAGATACTGATGAAGTGCTAGTCTCAAAGCACTACATTTGTTCTGATAATCCCACTGTTCTTGACAGATGTGAATTCAACTCCCAACACTTGAGACTACAAACAATTTCCAGGTTACAATGGTGCCAGCGAGTGTTAGTTATTAAATATTCCTTAGATGTGGAAAAAATTAACATATGGTTTGTTCTGGGAGCATAATGGAGCAGTAGCAATAGGCACATGAGCAATAGAAAGACTGAAACAACAGTTATTTTGCATGTGGAAACTAAATATTTTAACAACTGATCATAACTCAATATTAGGAATATGAGCTTTTTCCACAAAGCAAAAATGGAGACTATACACATGATCAGTTACTACAATATTCATTATGTTTACTGTACTAGATCTTTCTTGTACACTGGATTTTCATCTTAAAGACGACACTGAGACAGTTCTCTTGCCTAATCTGTTCATGTTTTTGTGGTCCACTTAGTTAACTGAACCTGGGCTATCTGGAAAGCTAACCAGGAGACATCAAATTCTTTTAAGACTGCTTATGACGTTGACCTCATGATATATCTTTTAAAATAAAGAGATACAGTAAGCTTGTGTAAGTCTATTCTTCATGTTATCCAAGGTTTCCTGATTACAAATTTTTAGTATTATACATATGTCCAAGAGTGAACCCTGCATTTATAAATACAGTTGATACATTACTTACTGTTTCCTTCTGCATTCAATTGCTCGATCTATCCTGAACTCAGGCAAACTAATGAATCCTTCTGCTTTTTCATCCTATCAAAAGAGAAGAGGAAGTGGCAGTGAGGAGAGCACAGAGTTGAAGAGCAGAGCAATGAACAGCAGCTCTTTGGGTGTTACACTAAAAACAACTGTCCACCCAACTGAAACACTGAACACATCTTCCCAATATTGTTTTTACTTAAGTATTTAGATTGCTTAATAATGCAAGGTCAGTATCTTGATGAATTTAACAATGGATGGTTCCTTAAATAACCTACTATTATCCCAATTCCTTTTGGCTGAAGATCACAGAAAACTTTTGAACACTGAAAACAGCAGCCAAAATGGTAATTGTCTTGAATGGTAATTCARGACATCTACAGAAAAGAGCTGTGAATGCTTTGTATTAGTTCAAACTGAAAGCACAGATACTATCTGTAAGATCACTGTCAACCTTTGTTATTTCATTAAGTTTGGATGTGGACTTTTTAAGACGTTAAAAATATATTTCAATRGAAATATTTCCACTTACAGTGACCCAGATCCAGCAATTATACTGACACTCCACTACASTATTTCACCAATTAGTATAAACTCTGAGATTTAATTTTGGCTTTCTTTAAACAAAGATTATACTTACATTCTGATTTGTGTACCAGTACAAGGAAGAGTCCTTCAAAATAAACCAGTATTTTTTCCATTTCTGTGTAAAGTAACCTTTGGCATCTTTTTTCTTCCATAGCCAGCCTTCACAATCTCCGTGCCCCAGATCTTTGCAGGAAATCCGTCTTCTGCTTCCACTTGTTAGAGAGCCACCTGATAATGTGATGATAAAGGAAGAGATGTCTCTGAAAGAATTATTCTTAACATAAACACATAACTACCGTCTAATGACGAATCAAACCCAAACCCCTCAAGCCAGATCCTCTCCAGTTTCAGGAAGAGGAGAGATTCAACAAACTACTTCTAAATTTCACGCAATTTTAGTTTTATGAAACACAAAATAAAAGGGCCCTATTTTATTATGCTTATTTAATCTCTAATAGGTTCATTCTTTCTAGGGCCGCATTTTCTTGTAAGCTGGACATCATGTCAAAGTAAAAACATACCGATTTTGCCTTCACTTTGAAGCTTACAGAATTTCTATTATTACTTTTCCTATTACTACTTTTAGCAACAGTCAAACTCTGTGCTTTTTAAATTTAAATTTTCAAGTCAATATTTGAGTCAGTAAAATAATCATTCACTGCCATAAAAATGCACTTCTTCAATTATGAACTTTAAAATATTTTTAGAAAATAGCAAATACACAACTACTACCTTTCTGCTACTTAMGTAAGAGGAAATTGTATTATAGAGTCTAAATATATTACATGCTTTAAAAAGGTATTTACTGCCAAATTTAGAAATATTTGAATCAAACTCAATTTTCACACTTGATCCAAACCACTTCTTATGAGGGAGAAACTTTCATTTTCTGCTTTCAAATACTAACTCAAACGATCTTACCTTTTGACCATTTTCTTGTTTTTACCCTGAGGGAAGCGTAATGGAATGACTGTAAGAAAAGGAAAAGAATCATGAAAAAACAGGGCATACAGCAGCAGTAGCCTAGCACAGCCTGCATTCACCACTATCGCCATGAAATATTCTCAGGATCTCTTTTTTGCCTTTTTTTTTTTTTTTTCTCTTATTAGTATTATAAACATGACAAAGAAAACAACACAGTGTTAAACCTACATACCAAACCTATTTTTTTCCACTTAGTAGTAACAATTCATTTGAAGAATCCATCAAGGTTTACCTGGAAGACTGCTTTAGCTGTAGCTTTAAAATCAAGGCCATAAATTTACAGAAATGTATAATAAAGTGGATGATATATGGACTTGCTAAGTATAAGTGACATAGTTTTACAATTATTTATTTAAATGAAATGGCTATCACAAGTATCTATTCATAGAATCATAGAAYGCTTAAGGTTGGAAGGGACCTCTAGAGATCATCTARTCCAACGCCCTGCACACACAGGGACACCCAGAGCACRGGGCACAGGCTGCCTCCAAGCGGATTTGGAGATCTCCAGAGAAGGAGAGTCCCCAGCCTCCCTGGGCAGCCTGTGCCAGGGCTCGGGCACCCTCACTGACAAGAAATGTTTCCTTAAGTTCCTGGGGAACTTTTGGTGCTTCAGCTTGTGGTCGTTTCCTCTAGTCCTGTCGCTGGCCACCACTGAAAAGAGGCCRCCCCCCTCCTCCTCACTGCCTCCCTTGAGGTATTTATACACACTGATCAGGTCCCCCCTCAGCCTCCTCTTCTCCAGGCTGAACAGGCCCAGCTCCCTCAGCCTTTRCTCATAGGGCAGATGTTGTTCCAGGCTCCTGATCATCCTATTTCCAAGCATACTGCTTTGCTATGTTGACCAAGTAAATCTGAGGAGAGTTACTCCTTTCTTTTGTGTCTGCAATACAAATACATTATTGATATTTTTAAAAAATCCTAAAACCTTTTAAAAATAGCAACACTATTCAAATAATGGTAAGGATTTATCTTAAACTAGGGGAAAATGCTGGAGGAAAGAGCAGAGATCACCTTGAAGCAGTACCACCTTGTGTGGCAATGAACGCAGCCACGAGCAGAACGGGCGGCTGGCGTCCGCAGCACAGGAGCCGGCAGCCCCGAGGAATGGCCATCCTTGTCACTCCCTCCTGCTGTCCTGTGCCACACAGAACCAGGGGTCCAGCTCAGCACAGTCCAGAGGAACTTCCAGAGAGGAACCTCAGCACCTTCAGCACTGCCTAGGTTACCTCTGTGGGAACCTACTGCTCTTGACTACAAGTAACTAACTCCTCCCAGAGCCCATCTGACTCCTACCCTACGTTACAGCAGCCCCTCACCACATGCTCCAGAARCTCTAACAAGTCTATTATTAAAAATGGAGTCTATTATTACAGGACCTAAATAACACAAAATTCTTTACATGTATTTTGTTTCAATCAATATTTAGGGAAGTGGAAGATTATCATTTAAGTGCTATAAAAAGCAATACCTGAAAATAGATTTTCCAATACTGGAGAGGCATAGGCCTTAAATAGCCTTAAATAAAAATAGCCCTTAAATAAAAACGGAGGARGGAGCTGTTTTGCATATGCAGAGCCCTGTGTGTAACCTTTCTGTAAGAGCTGCAGTGTGCTACGCYGAAGAGCACGGACAGGCTYTAAGGCGCTGCCTCAGTGAGTGACYCGGTGTCCCTGAGGRCGCTGGCYCGGGGCACAKCGGCCTGCTCGCCCACAGGCCCCTCCAGCTCAGCACCCCTGGCTCCCTGCCGCTCACACTACGCTCCTGGACAAGCGTTTTATGGATGCTTCACACTCTGACACATGGCAAGTTCCGTGTAGGTATGTGCACTGTATTGATGCAAGACAGTACACGGAGAACACACACAGCTTCAAATGCATCTTTTTTGAGCATTAGAGAAGACAGAGAAAAGACCAATTATACTTGCTGCTGCACTATAGGAAATATAGACATAAGAAGGCAGAAAAATGGAAAAAAAGGGATACCTTTGAGAAGATATTGAAGATACACAGCTACACTGTCATATTTGTCAATGCACTGTGTCACAGCAGCACTGCTTGGTCATACATGGCCAGCTGGATCACTACAGTGACTGTGACTGAAACAACCTGCTCAGTGTCCCTCCTTGTGCATAGAAAAGCAGGCTCCTGCTCCTGCACAACAGATTCCCAAACCTGTCTAAACTTTACACTGATCAATGCTGAGATGAACAACGAATTCCCTGTAACTAAAGTACAGTTCCAAAACAATCACAATCTGGTTCTCTCCTAAAGAACTGCAAGAAAAAATGAACAGCTGAAGCATTTAAATGAACTAGACAAGTTCATATTAAGATACTCACAAGAAAACTGGTATATGTGATTCAGTAAGAGTTTTAAAAATAATGAAAATTCATCACAAAAAAAAAGGCCAAGAAGAGCTGAAAGTACTAACAACTCTAAAAATGCAAGTTCTTTTGTCTTGCTATATTTTGTCTGTGCACACTTACAAATGCCCTAAAAAGTGAGATAAGCATGGAAAGTGAAAGCTTTGCACTACCTTGGGGACAAAAGCTTAATTAGCACTGCTAACTTACAATCTTCATATTCTAATAGATAAAATAATACTATACGATTAGCTTCTGGCAAACAAACAGTGTAAGAAAGCAAACAGAGCTTGCCAGCTCAAAATCACTGAAAGTTGCTATGCAGAACAGAGAAATGATGTGGTAGCACGCTGGTTATCAGTACGGTTGTCAGTATTTAAGTTCTCACTGCAAAACCACAGCACAGAATATGATGTTAAATGAAATGCAACCTCTCCCACAGCTCAACATGGTCTAGAAAAAAACAGGATAGAGCAGAAGCTCTGCTACATGAAGCTGAAGCAATGAGACCTCAGTAGAACTACTGAGAGGCAGTAACAGTTTTGATTATTTGCCACAGGATTGCCAAAATGAAAAGTTCTGCTGTGTTTAAGGAATCCCCTGGAAACCTGCAATTAAGTTACTTGCCAAGATGAAGGGCAGCAATCCTATTAATGCAAATCTGGCTGCATACACCTTCGCCATTTGCCGCCTCATGAGGTTTTACTTAAAATGAGCAAAATGCTTCCAACAAAGCAAACAGCACGTTCACTTGCAAAGTACACACACTTCCTCGGTGTACATCTAATACAGTATTATTTGCAGTGCCACAATCCCCAAGGACAGCAACAGTTTCAAGTGCTTTTTAACGACAGCAGCAGACAAGCAGAGATTTGCACAGGAGTCCCATTATCAGCAACACAACTGCAGGTCTTCACAAACACCAGAAAATTTAACCCCGCATCCTCCTCCTGTGGTCTCCCCATCAGTGATCACACATCTTTCATYGCTGGTCTTCAGTTTCACTGAGTAAGTACTTAAAAGGCAGAACACCACCTAACACGCTGCCAAAGGCACAATTTCATGGCTCACAAAGACAGACAAAAACCCTCCCTGTACTGCAGCTAACGAGAACAAGCACTAGACTTCTCAGACAGGAAGAAACCAAGACATGCTTCAAAGATGAACTCTTCACTCCCACCTAGCAAAACAAGCGCTAAACTGTAACGAAGAAACATGTGCTCTCTAAAAAAAGTTCATTCTTCATAGATTTTTCAAAATTCTGAACAATAAAAATTGATAATATCTAAATATTTTTCATTAAAGATCTTCAAAACTGGTTCTGCAAAAGTCTTGAAAAATCTTTATCTCTTATCTCATTATAGCATGCATGTTATCCCAATATATTCGGATTTTCTTAATTTCTTTACCTTCAAAGCAAATTCCCCCTTCAGTTCCTTTTCAACCTAGGCTTTTGTACAGCTCTCTTCCCTAAATTGGAATATATCTTAAAACACATATTAGGTTCCCATCAAACTTCCTGAAATTTGCTACATACAGACTGGCCTGCTATGGCTGCACTAGATGCTTTCCTGAATACGTAAATTATTCCCTTTTATTTATTTATTTTAAATAATATAGACAAATTTCCAAGTCTGCAATACCTTACGAATCTTTGGAAATATGACAATGAATTGAATGGTTGGGCATTTCTATTTTAASTACAGCTCTAATTGATTACCTTCCTCATGGAGGTGCTTCCGTGGCGGTCAATTGCAGAGCTAGCACATCTAGAACAGAGAGGAAGAAACATGTCAAAAAACAGAGAAAAAAAAAATCTGAATTAATATATTTGCATATAAGCTCTATGTATTTCTATATATAAACCTAGAGATTTAATTGTGCTTCCGAAACATGTAAAATATGCCGCTTGAAAACATACTGCTTTGGAAACTTATCCTTTTCAAATATCATTTAATGCTTTTAAAATATATTAGTTTGCAAATAGCTATCTGAATGGATAAGCCAAGCTTTCACAAGGATGATAGTGTGAAGAAGCTAACTAGCTAACACCAAGTAACCTTTCCCAAAGTAAGTCCAAAGAGGACCCCAACAAGGGCCCCACCTGCTGTGGTCACTATGCTTATTATCAGTACAAATTCATTAGCAAAACTGATAAACTGCTTAACACTAAGACTGCTTTTAGCAGAATGCTGTTGGAAACGATGTTGGAAGGTCCAGGCAAGACTTCACTTCAGAAGCCACAGATTTTCTGAACACACTCAGTGTTTTGACACTACAACAGTGCATACCTGGTATGGCAGAAAAAGAACCAGTTGAACCAGAATTGAATCAGTTCCTGTTCAATAGGCCACTTGGTGAATTTTGGTGTTATTAAGAGCAGATTTTCTGCACACCTTTCTCRCACAAACCCTGTGGACAGAACAATATAGCAGCGGTGCTCTTTCTAGCTCCCTTTGCAATGYGGCAATAGCGAGGGCTGTTACCAAGGTTCAGATAAACCAGGACTGCTCTGAAACTTGCAGCACTTGCAGTTCTTTTTCCTTCACCTCAAAGAAAACTAAAAAGGTTACAAAAGAATGGCCAGAATGATCAAAACGTACATAGCAACCTTAGCACAAACTAAGCTGATTTATTCTCCTCAGCCATCTGTCTCTCTCAACACAACCAAAGGCAACACCGAAGCAGTTTATGAACTCAAAAGTGGGGCTAAAAGAGTAAATAAGGAAAAACCATATTCATACTTTCCTTGAATTATCTAATCTATATTAAATTAGCAGTTAAGTTTGTTTTGAATTTGCTGTTTTTTTATTGGCACAGAGTTGCTATTATTGAACTCTGTTACGAGGTGCTGCAGCTACCATGAATTTACATGGATTAAATTAAAACACAAAAAACCTACATATGGAATATCGAAATACTCTGCTGAAGTTCTCCAGGCAAGGGAACAAAAGAGTCCTGCGACATTTTGGTTTTGAGTTTTCTGCTTGGTTTTAGCCACAGGCCTGTTCTTATATAACTGACACTATTGTTGGCCACTGATGGAAACAGGACATTGACTCAGGGTGAACTTTGGCCTCATCAGGCACAGAAATTTTCACACACTTCGTTTAAAAGTARTAGGCAAGACTCAGCAGTTCTGAGCGGTTTGCAGCTTACAAGGACTGGGAGAAAACAACTGAAAATAACAAACAAGTCCAAGTGCAGCATTTGGTTAAGGGCATTTTGGACAGATGACCAAACTGCCGCAAGGCAGATCTTGGCATAATGCTCCATTTCCTGCCTGCCCATGGGAATGCCATAAATGTACTGTTAGTCCACAAATATATGGTTAGCATTCAGTTATAACGATGATGCAGAACACAGCACAAGTAAAAAGCTCAACAAGGTGAAGCTAAGAAAGGTGGAAGCAGCTTTGACTTAGGTGGCAGCAAACCTCTAGGAACTTCTGAGAACATCCAGCTCACACCTTACAGGACACACTCATCACAGGGCCAGTCTAGTGGGGAGGTCTGTTAGCAGCATTTCAAGTGACTACATATAATTTCAGAGACTAATAATCTCCAAAAAAATAAATTTGGAAATATTAGGGAGAGCAGTATGAAGTACTATAACCCACTGTATTTGATAAAAGCATTAAGAAGTGAATATCCACCTATTAAAATACTTCTAATGAATGCTGAGAGGTGTCTCCCAGTCAGCACTGAATATATCAAATTAACAGTGCAGCTCAATACCTCTCTCCATCCTTGGTATCAGAGCCATTATATCCATTTAAAATCATCACTAGCATTCTGAATATCCTGTATTTTCTACTCACGCAAAAAGAATCCACTGTTAATGAACAGTGATAGTGCTATTTATTTCTTCATAAACTAAGCGCTGCTAAACAAGTGTGAACATCATGTCCACTTTTACACTCATTCCTCTTTTCCTTTCAAGGAACATGTTTTCATTTTCCACCACATAAAGATAGTAACACATCTTTAATTACCCTGTAAACTACACCAGTTTCTAGCTTGTAAAATCTAGAGAATAACTCCTGCAAAGAGTTCCAACATTTTAAACCAACACAGAGCAATTTAACCATGCCTTGATCTCATAGGCACTACTCAAAAGGAACGCTGGATAGAATGYCTCTCACACATTACCAGTCCTCCCAGCTCCAATACCTCCGTTCTCTATTACCTCCAGGGTCATTAAACCCATCACTGAAGTTTACTGTATCAGAACTGAGTATTTTTCAGCAGCTTACTGGATTGCTATCATTTTGGCTTCTCCACAGGTGAAAGGACAGAGATAATAAATCCCAAATGACAGCCACGAATGCAGTCTAGAAACAAGAATAATTACCTTGAAAGTAACTTAGCCTTCACCTGCTTTTTGATATGGATAATACCTAAAATCTACCTAGTTAAATTCTTTTCTGTTAAATGTCTCTGATTAGCTACTGCCTCAACTAGCAGTCAAGGTCAGGATTATAAAATACAAGTAATAAATGCTACCACTCATACCTAGCTGCTAATACTTTTACCATTAASTAAGCGCTGGGCGGCTCCGGCCTGGCCGGTTCTGTCACCGGGACGCTCTGCTCATTCCAGCCACTGCCCTTCCCGGCTCTCCTGGCCGGGCTGCAGTCCGTATGCGGAGCGCTCGGAGCCATTCTGCTGCTGGGCCTCTGCAGGAGGCCTCCTGCTTCCTCAGGCTCCCTAAATGCAGGATCTCAAGTACACAGCACAGATGATTTGAGAGTGAACRTGGAAGCTGCTGCTTAAACATCACGGACTACAGTGGAGTCTGCACTTAAAAATGGAGCTAGTCCTACTGCCACCCGGATTCAGAAGCAGCTGGGGATCCAAAGCACACAGAGCTTCATTAACAACTCTATCGATCCACAGCAACTATCAACAGCTGTAAAATGGCACACCTGTCACCCTGCTCTTTTCTGCTAGCACATACTTGGGAGATGCAAAGTTCAAGCTCTAAGGGCCCTGCAAAACCCCGTGAACATTTACTTCCCACATTCTGAATTTCATTAAGTGCAGTCTGGTTGCAGCTCAAGTTCAGGAACATCATAAATTAACAAGTCATTTATTTTTTTCTTTGTTCAGATATATCACTGACACAGTGTAAAAGAAAACATGTTTTTTTGTTCTTTTTTTATAGTGAACTTTTTTCTTTCATTGACCACAAGCATGGCCCGACCCTGTTCAAAGCTTTCAGAGATGTGACAGGATCTGTCAGAAATAACATTTCCATTTAACCATCCCCACTTCAGCCATGCTCCAAGTTTTCCACCTCCTGACATTGAGCAATTACATGCTGCCTAGAAGACCTGAAACCAACTGTTCTCTTTTTGCCTTAATCTATCTCTTGCTGACTGTGTTTCTTTTCTAAAGTACGTGAAGCAAAACTGGAGCAAATACTGTACCTCATGTGCAAGTTACTTATTGCTGGTTTAAAAAGATACAGAACAAAACCAGGACCACATATACGATTCTGGATACATTTACCTGGTTGCTGGCATGCAGCAATGACACAACTGTGCYGTTTCTAAAACAATTTGCTTGGATTCATGTTTAATTTGACTATTGTAACTTCTGTAGATTACGTAACATCTTCCCAGCATTAACAAGTGAATGCTCAAGGTAAAGCCATTACTTCAGTATTTCCTAGACATTTGAAATCCCTTCTTGACTCTGTGCTGCCTCCAGCCCTGCCTCAGAACCACCCTATGGGCTGTAGTACTTGATACCTCACGTCTCAGCCAGTTATTTGAGCTACCTCAGGTATCTCTGCACTTTTCAGCACTAACTAGAATATAAGCATATTTCTATGTGTAAAACTGATGAAGCAATACCRAGTTAAATCATTTTTAAACTATTTACCTCTCCAGCATTAACTATAAATAGAGACTTCTTAAACTATTAACACTCACAAAGAAGTGTTATGAAAAAGACCCCAGCTTAACTTTCACATGGAAATCGTGCAAATAGTCATGAAGTAACAATCATGAAACTGTTTATTCAACAAGGAGCTCAAGTGCTCAATGCTCAAGTGATGCAATTGTTTTTTGCCTTCTCTCTAGAGATAAGCACAGTGAGATCTTAAGTCCCACCGTGTCTGTATCGATGCCATGGTCGTGTTGTTCACTCGCATCCATAACCCACAGATGYCAGGACTTCCTGTTACCAGGATTTTTCTCCTCCTAAAGCGAGGTTCCAAGAATACAACGAGCAATGCTGTGCCCACTGTCAAAAGTTTGCTTGCAGGACAGCTGCAGCAGCCAGGGGACGTGGCCCATGCCCACTGCCACTTTCTCAACTGAGAAGCAGGCACAATTCCAACTTTTGCAATGAAAAAGAAAACAAATTGGCTGCTTTTTGAGGAAGTATTTAATTTAGCTTGTTTTCCTACCACCAACCACACAATTGGTGTTTGTACCTCCAGTGACRAAGGGTAATTTCCTAAATCAGGTCACCTGCTCAGATATGAAGCCATTTCCTTATGGCTGCCCTATTTTTCTATCAATACTAATACTAGTGATACATACATGTGTATGTATACACACATATGCACGCATAAATACATACATACATATCAGAATATGACTTAATAACAGAGCTCAGACTATGAGCTCTATGACTGACACTGATCAGGCAGGGTTAGAGCTGTGAAGAGACAGTTATCTTATAAGAGAGTGGTATGGCTGCTCATCACACATGCTCAAAGCCTAACCCTGACCATAAAGCTGTGCCAAATATGCAATGTAGATGTGCCAGGGGCATATGGAATTTTAATTCACAAATACCTAGTTTTTCTTATGCCCCAAACATAGAAAAAGGGTATTACACTAGCTTTACATTCTGTTCATTTGAAGTGTTTAAAAGGCYGGATAGAGCAACACTCCATAATCACGTATTGCTCACACAGCTGCTGGCGTTTTCATTACAGATTTCCTGCACCATGTGGGTTATTCTGGTATTTGCAGCCACCATCGTTTCTCTTGTTTCTGGCTTTTTAATTTCTTTTTTGAACAATSGATGCAATTATATCAAGGAAAGTGCTTAAGCCACTGTGCTCATTGCTTTATGTAATTAATGAAGTCAGTGCKGTTTCATCCAAATATGTGGATCTACCCACACAGTCTGTCTCCAGCTCCCCCAAAATGTAACTGCTAGGAATAAAATCTCCTAATTGTGAACATTTTGGTCAATTTTAAGCTGCATTTTTTTGTTTTTAAGCTCTTCAGAAACTTCAGAGTCGTTCTATAGAAGAACGTACTTTTGCTCGTCCCCCAAATTTCCCAAAGTTTAATCAATTCATGCTTCAAAAGGATCTCTCAGCAGATGTTGAGCAGAAACTTTTCTCACACCCACCAAAAATGCTTCACCTGGCCTGTCATTAAGCTCGCCTTGTCAGGGAAGAAYACAATTCCTTGTGAATGCAAGAAAGGGCACGGAGAAGGATGACAAAAAGAGGGATGAGAAGTAGGAGACCTCATTTTGCTTGTTTTCCTTCCTCTGAAAAAAGGAAAAGCATAAAGAGGGAGCAAACACACTGGAAGGAAGAAGGGTTGGAAAATGCAGTGACAACAAAGCAAAAAGTTGCTACTGTGAGGGGAAAAGCAAAGGACAGAAGCATCTAGCACAACAGTACTGGAGAGGAGACCAAACTAAAGCAATAAGTAGGCAAGACTTGCAGAAAACAAGTTTTGAAAACTCTAGCGTAAGAGTTACAGAATATTCAAGGTTGGAAGGGACCTCTAGAGATCATCTAGTCCAACCTTCCTGCTCMAGCAGGCACACCTAGAGCATGTGGCACAGGGTGGCATCCAGGCGGGTTTTGAAGACCTCCAGAGAAGGAGACTCCACAACCTCCCTGGGCAGCCTGTGCCACTGCTCTGTCACCCTAACAGSAAAGAAGTTSCTCCTCACCTGGAGACGGAACTTCCTGTGCTCCAGCTTRTGGCCATTACCCCTCRTCCTRTCRCTGGCCACYAGTGAAAACAGCCTGTCCCCTTCCTCCCTGCATTCTCCCTTCCTGAACTGATACACATTAATCAGATCCCCTCTCAGCCTTCTCTTCTCCAGAGAAAAAAAGAGTTAAAAAAGAGTTAGGGGCCAGATTTACAGACAAGATCCAGGAAAGGGCCTGGTTATTTAAAGAGACTGATAAATACGCCCTCTCTTCCCCCATATAACCCTTCATACATAAGATGGATGCCGTTCTTGGTAAGAATTCAGACTAAATATAAYGTGGCACTTAAGTTATTTATTGCAAAAATTGTGTTTAGCTGATTATACATCTACTTCACTAAGAGCAGTGAAATTAASATCTTTTATTTGAAGAAGTAGAATTTCACCCCAGAAAAAAAATCTTTCTAACCCATTTTCTCCTGTGCTCACAGGGCTCCTGAATTTAGTTGAATGCTATTTTAAGCATGTGCAGCAYACAAAATAACAGGCAACATTGGTTAAGTTCTTAGCACTTGCAACTGCCTTTGAAAATCATTCCATTCTTTTCTTTAACATATATAYGTATATAAAATATTGATGACCTTGAAATCCTAGACATTAGGTGACTTGTCATTAAAGGTGACTTCTGACCATAATACTGCTGTACCTTAAAATTCTAGCTGTAACATAGTGAAATTTATACCACTGAAGGCTGCTTACAGTAAAATTTACCCCACGTGAAGAAAACAGTCATTGATTTTAAACCAGTTAAGACTGGWGAAATTTCAGGAACATTAATTATTTGTATCCAGTGGAGGGCTTAGCTTCTTAAAACAGGCTTAGATAATATAGAGAACAAAAACATTCTAAAAAGAATACACATATAAACAATTTCTGTTTAACCTTAATTYGGACATTCCATGATACTCCGTTTCCACTATTCAAAAATTTCATATTCTTTGGGCATTTTTCMCCAGATAAATGGCAACATCGACAAAATCACTACCATATTCAGAATTAATTCATTAAAATGAAAGATAACAGACAAAAGGAAATCTGTATTCCAATAATTTATTAAGTTTGTGCAACAGTTGTAAAAAGTAATGTTTATACACTGAAGTAGCATTCATATATTAGTACTAATTAAAAATGATCTGTCAGAAYTGTGTTAGATTCTGAGTTAATTTCAAATGTTTTTTTTTTTTTTAAAACAAGGTAGGGGACACTATCATGTTAGTACTGTCTCAGCCAGCTTGTTTTTCTTCATAAGCTTTTTGAAGAATACATATGAAGTATTTTTCATAAAGAAAATTCAACCTCATTTTATGAATAACCCATATTCATATTTGATAATAACCAGGAAGTGCAAGAGTTATGACATTTACTAAGTGATTTTAATGTTTTTCTCACTAAAACCTTAATGCTCTTCAAATATTGCAACTTTGTTTCTAGAAGTATACAATTAAGTAACTTATATACATAGATTACATATCTACTTATATATGAATTGACAAAAAGACATTACCTTTCAGTATCTCCACCGACTGTGTCCCCTGTTCTCTGCAGAAAAACAAAAAATAGTGTTAAGCACAGTCTAAAGAGTAGACTTCCTTGGTGCACTCAGCATCGCGGTAAACGCAGCAGCAGAAGTCACAGAAATAAACCACACCAGTCATTCTGTAACTATGGAAAAGGAAACTGAAAATTTATTTTAATTTCCAGCAAAGTATTATTTCACAACAATGTTTAAGGTAATTTGCATCAACACTATTAGTTTCAGCTGCTGTGCAATTGTAATTAAAGCTCTTTCAAGCAAAAAAGGCACTAAAATCGTATATTATCTAGAATTCGGTAAAAGAGATACTGAAAAACAGCACTTCAGAAACAGAAACCATACCGGATTTCAAGAACAAATCTGTCAGCAAAATCTTCCTTATTGCTTAACTTTCTCACACAGCTTCACTTCACTGAGTTACTCATTTAAGGTTCATAAAGGAACGTGTGTCTCTTAGAAATGACCCATAATAAAGAAGAATCTGCGTACTCTTATATTCAACAGAAAGTGCTGGTGCACTTGCAGTTCTCCCACAGCTAAAAAACCATCATCCTGAAATCATAAAAATGTGTTTTTTAAAATTTATGAAGATGAACACTGCACTGGAAACATCTTTGCCACAGAATGCTGTCTGAATCACCAGACAGGAAGGAGGCTTCTTCTATGACACCCAGTGCCTGGGTTTCACCACCATGACTTTGGCTGTGCTTTCCACCAGACACAGTAGATGCCTCAACCCTCGTAGCAAGAAAAACCCTTAAGTGATGAACTCACCGTGTTAGTAACTGATAACCTGGGGAGGGATGCTCACACTGCACTGATAAAACCTCTGAGGAGCCTTATTTGTCACTTGCACTTGCATGCACTAAGACTAGACTCATCATCTAACACAGGATCAGGGAGACATCATCCCCCTTTGCCTTTCTTTATACGGTGCATAACAGCCTACACGTTAATACTATGGAACGGTAGCATTACCATTCCCTGCACTCATGTCCTTGCTATAGCTGTGATTCTTATTACTACTTTATCCTAGTTCTTAAGATTGCTACAGGATGCTGGGAAAGGTTGTGCAGTTGTTTGTACCTGGGGGACAACCCAGGAAAATATACAGCCTGGCCGGGCTAGTAAATGAACTTTATGGCAGCAACAGCACCCGTGCTACCCGTGAGATGCAATTTGCTCGTGCTGCAGGGACCAGAGATTTTCTTCTCACAAGCYGCTTCCTTCTAGTGCCTTGATTTGAGAGACTGAAGAGTGGGAAGGCCATTTAGTCAGTTTAGCCATTTCCCATTCTAATTCTTAAACCAGCAAAGSATTTTCTTTTTAAAGCTGCTGCCAAGTGTTTTCCAATGAGGTTTTACTCCCTTTCTCTTCAAACGGGACTCATCTCACACTTGCTTCCCTCACAAAGCTCACGTGCAGCCCTCCTGCCATGCAACCCTGGCCACCTTCCTGCCATTCCCTGTATTATAAAATTCCACTAGCACCAAAGAGCTGCCCATTACTCACTTGTTTCCTTCCCAAAAATGTACAGGGGATGCCCATGGCTGGGCAACACTTCCAAGATCTCTTCTGAGGAAATGTATCCCATTACTACAACTGCAATCAATTATCTGGATACTGTGAACATGTATATATTAGACTTGAAGTTAAACATCTTTCTGTTAATAAAACTTTTTTCTATAAGTATTTTTGACACCTGTTATTTTTGCACTAGTATTAATTTTCCAAGACACAGTTAACCTAACCACCATCAAACAGAAGACCTGTACTAAGAGAAGCTTTACAGTAACTTTATGACGGTTGGAGATAAACAAAACTATCAGGGTACTGTTTAACTACTCACAATATATTAAAAATTACAACTGATTATTGGAATTTAGGAGAATCAAGAGCATCCTTTTTAAATTAAAAGGGACAACAAGTATCTAATAGGATCACTTAAAAGATATTTATGTTTTAAGGTCAGGAGCAGTGTTGTGTGATTTACAACACTTTATTCTGCTGCAGACCACCATCTCACAGATTTGTAGCCTGGTGCTACTGCCACATTCCAGATCCTTAAAAACCAGACGTGCTGCATGGCAGAGAGGATAGAGGACCTTCCCCACAGCAAGCTGGTAGCCAACACGTCCTCTTTTGCTGGGAAATCAAGGCGTGGGTTCATTGCTCCGTACCCACACCACCAAGCGAATAAATCTCACATGCTGGAATTTCAGTAGCTTGAGAGTTCAGTAAAAATCCCAAGGACGCAATTACGGTTTTGTTGTTTTTCCTGAAAGCTCCACAAAAACCCTATGATAATATCAATCCCAGGTTCCAAACATCTTTTTTTGAGATTAACTTCAGATTTACGTAGCCAAGGATTTCAGTGGATCTACATCTGACTTACATAAGAAATGAGAGCATATTAAGGCCTACATAGTCTAAGACATGATAATCCTGCCCCAAACAAAACCTGGAAGAAATTCCTATTTCCCTGAAATGTCTATGAATAACTAGTAATCCTGAAATTAATTTGAATCAGTATTTTATAAAGAAAATGTATTTTTTTAATAAGAAATCATATACATCACAAAAAAAGAAAAATTTAACCGCAGAAATAATATTTCTGCATTATTTAAAATTTTTCAAAGTATTTTCTTGGTGAAAAACAGAAGAGATTAAAACAGACTGTTAATAAAAATTACTAATCTGAACAAATCATCATTGGTAATACTTCCTCTGATACAATCCCTGCTCCTCTTGGACCTTTATTATAAATGCTGTTCCTCTACACTCAGGTATTTTATGCACTACAAAAATTCTTTCTTCCACAGCTTCCTCAACACTTGCTTTCATTATCCTGCACGTTTCTTTACTTCAATGCTTTTTTTTTTTCCCAACATGAAATACTGCCCTTGCTGCCAGGGACTTGGCTTATCTAGTTCAGTACGCGCTGGTGCCTAACTTACTGCAGACCTAATGCTCGAAAAATTACTAAACTCAGCTAAAAACACAGAGCTGCCTTTGAGGTTTTTCTTCCGCTCGCTGAGGGGAGAGACAGGAAATAATTTCATGCAGGCTACACGCACCTACCGTTCAAAGAGGCACTCGGTGTCTATGCTGAAGGAAGTATCAAGAAGGTTATAAAAATTAAAGGTCAGAAGAAAAATATCCACTCAAAATTTTTGATTATGAGATACTTGATGAGTATTATGCCATCAGCATGTAGCAGTCAACAGAGAAAGCAGCAAAAACTTTAACAGAATGGGAATTTTCACTTGTAGGGAAGAGCTTGTATCTAAAAGAGAAGTTAGCAACAGTATACACAAGGTTAAAAAGTGTTCTGAAAAAATATTTCCAAAGACGACTCAACTGTATCTCACAATTGAGATTTTTTTATTGGAGAAATATTATAAAAACAAGGTAGAATTTAATGCTTATGGATAGAAGCTACACTGGAAGTCTTACAGATTTCATATGAAAAATGTATGAGAAGTTCTTCCTAAAAAAAAGGATGCCGACACCTAATAATTGGAAATCCAATCACGTGACACTATGCTGTTGGAGACGGCACGTGTTTTTTAATTGTAACTTTATACCACCAGGAAGCACAATTGTTTTTTCTTGCTGAGAAAGATTAAAAACACCCAAAATAGCAGCAAAACAAAAAAACGGTTGTGTTGAGCAGGATCCCCTGGAATGGAAAACTGAAGCAAGAGGTGCTACCTGGAGGAGTTACATGGGCAGGGGAGAATGCAGTCAGCTCCTTTCCCTTCCCGTCTCTCCCGTTCCTCTCTCTCCAAGGTGCAGCTGTCCCCAGGCCTCGCCTCCAACAGGACAGTCCTCCTTTTCAGCAGCTCCACCAACATCCTGTCCCTTCTCCAGGGAATTCTGTTGGTTCTGTCGCTGGGGAAGGGGCTGAGCCTCGAGCCAAGGCCCAGGGCAAAGCCCCAGGCCCGGCCTCCACCCCAGGCAGCCAGCGCGGAGGAAACCTCAGGSGAGAGTCTCAGCTCAGCGCCAGCGCCGACAGCCCCACCAGGAACAGCGAGAGCGAGATGCCAGGTGCAAAGAGAAAGAGACTGCGCTGGGACCTGCGCTCTTCTTCTGCCCCATGAGCCCCCAGGCAGAACTGCCATCAGAACAGCAGCACCGTTTATATAAAAACAGCATTTCAGTCAATAGATACATTAGCCACTATTTTCATATCTATTAATATAGTTTTATGTGTATGCCATATACTTATTAATAGTATTTATTATTAAATATATATTTATATATCCATTTACAATGTAATGCTGAATTGAATCAATTTATATGACTGCTAATTATCTTTAGTCTACATATAAAAAAACAGAATTAAATTTTTTTTCTAGCCAGGAGGCATAATAGAACTAAATTTTTAATTATTCTCCTAGAATAACGTAGTGCAGTAAATCATAAATCTATTGTTACTTTTATCTCCAAGAGCTTCAGAAAGTTTTAGAAATTGGAATTTATAAATGAGGACACAGGAGGTAAATGAATGCTTCATTTGCTAATTTCAGTTGGTAATTAATTTGAAGACTGGAGAACAGCTTAGCTTGAATATAYTCTAATATAGTAAAAGTACTTAGAAAAAACATGGTTTATGTTTGGATAAAGATATTTTGTATCTGCTTTGCTGTAAAGCATTATAATATAACAGTTTATATACATATATAATATACATATATGTATATTATACATATATAAATATTTATATTATACATAATAATATATAAATACATATAAATATATTATACATAATAATATATAAATATTTATATTATACATAATATAAATATATGTATATAAACTGTATATAAATATATATATAAATATATAAATATATAAAAACAGTTTCAGGAACATAAGGAAACAAGGTAGTCTGAACATTTGAAAGTAAATAAAATTAAATAGCTTATATTTTGACTAAATTACTGAGTAAGATCTCACAGGCTGCTGCAAGTCCATCAGCCGTAGACCTCTATGGCCACCAACAGGCGGAATTTCAACATAAGATTTTCGGACCTATTCCAAGATTATGTATGGATAAACCCCAAGACACTTCTACAGTAGACAGTGGAAATAAGCCTCGCCTGAACTGGAAAGAATCAGTCTGAAGTTACAGAAACTAAGAAAGCTCGTATTMGCTTCTCTGATCTGCTAGCTTCTTCTCACTTGTCCTCAAAGTGATTCCTGCGAGGTAGGGAAAGAACGTTCTCCATATTAGAGATGCTTAGGTATAAACAAAGGTAAAAATTATTTGGTTAATCAGAAAGGAAATAAAACTCAAAATGAACTTATTCCCATGTCCGACAGTTAACTTTTGACAGCTGACTTTTCCTTCTGCAGAAATAGGAAGTGAGAAGCGAATTATGAGCACTTTTCCCACTAAATCAGCAACAAGAGATTCCTCCTTCGTCACAAGGAGCTCACTACTCCCTGGCTACCTTCTTTATTAATATCTTTAGGAGAGCAGTGGACAGGCTGCCTTTTGCCCTCCATAAAGCGCGGGGGACACCTGGCACACGCCAGCACATGCATCACATCCCATCTTGGCTTAACCGMCCATGTTTTAGCTCTCCACACATGCCACTGTACATCATGGCAGTTGTCAAAGTGATTTCTGCAGCTCCAAGATCATCAAAATACCTTCTACCTCGTTGTGCACTGCAAGGCAGCATCTCTAGGATGAGCAGAGCAAAAACAAGCAGCAAGTGGAGCAATGACTGTGGATCACTRAGTAACCCTACAGCACTACAACAAAGCATCAACATATCTTGAAACTAAAAAGCGAGCACTGCTACAGCATTTGCAATGACTGATTTGAGGCAGACATCATCTCTGGGTTCCTATGGAGCGAATGTTATAAATCTCTTTTCCACGTGGAATACTAATTAAAAAGGGAATTTGATAGTTTATAATGCAATTCCCTAATATATCACATTACAAAACAAAAAAAATCCAGTTCCAAGGTGGAATACAGAGCCTGGGCTTCTGTTGCCAGAAACAAGCTGATGACTTTTCCACCATCCTATCTGACARTTTAATGCAGTAATCAGCAGGTTAAATTCAGGACTTTAGAAGCCAGTTCCCATCAGAGGCAGCAGAATCAAAGTTCATCATCCTGAGCATTTAAAGATCGGGAGCCCCAGTATTCCTTTTAGACCGAAGCTTGTTCCCATAGTACAATATGTCAGTGAGCAGTAGAAAGTTTACCATTTGCTGGAGTTTTTAAAAAACCTGAACAACAGTGGAAGACACAGTGTTACCATTTAAGATAATTCTCCTTTTGTTTCATTAGGAAAAATGAGAATTTTCTCATATTAGTTGGCATATTGTGCARAAGTCCTACTTGGCTAATTCTTTAGTTCAGAAAAAAAACTCTAATACAAACTAAAAACACTGTTTTTATTCTGTTTTTAGCGCTATTACTGTACATCCCAAGCCCACTATAAGAGCACATTTCAGCAAAGCAGGAACAGATTTACTGTCATGATATTTGCATCCGCCTCACTACCTAAGACTTACCTAGGAAAATCTGCACTGCTGAAGCAAGGCCTCAGTAAAGCCATCGTTTGTTAGAAACGGTGTTCTAACAAATACGCTACTGACCGGGGGCAGTGGCCTGTTTAATTATAACTGACCRTTCCTCAGATTTTCTGACAGAAATGCACATCAATAGGATTAATTAAAAAAAAAAAAGGAATTCGAAAAGAACGTGAAACTCATTCAAAGCAAATATTTAAGCAGTTCACACACAGGCTTTCGTAGTACACATCCACAAAAAGATGTCCTAAGAGCGTCTTGAATCAGTAAGAAGTGCTGTATTTTATTACTTTGCCTATTATATTACTTTGAGGATGTCAAAGACTCTATTATTGTCCTAGACAACAGATACTGTATTTTTCAGTCTCAAGTGATGGTAAATCAATAGAGAGTATTTGATATTATCAGAATGGCAAATTCGACTTTCACTGGTGTAACAGGTACTCAGTATTTAAGCAACTAAAGAAAAAGATTAATAAAAGACATTATGAACTGAATAACAACAATTGTCCACACCAAAAGAATTCAGGACACATATTAGAGTTGTAAATATATACTGAAAGGGGCAGTGTTTCTTGACAGTAGTATTTTACTGCAGCATGGCTCKGTGCATCATTTTAAATCCTGGGCATACTGCCAATAGTGCATTACCTAAATACTCATTTTAACTGCATCCTCACAGCAACTTGTGAAATCAGTCTAATTGTTTAATTTTAGGTTCTAAATCCACATGGCTTCCAAAGCATTAATCTAGTAGTGAATCTATGCAATTACCAATTTTGAAAAATTTATGTTTGTATCTGGTAATTGCAGCTACTGGCTTTTCAAAATGTATATTTATGTATGTATGCTTTAAGCAAAGAACAATGGCAGAATGATGCAGAATACCTGATTTTCACTCTATCCTGCTGCACTTGGTGCCTCACAGGACACTTTCATCTTCCCCTAACAGAAGGGGCTTAAGATTCTATGTAATATTATCATCTGCATTTATAAAACAAAACCAAAACTCCTTCATTTAGGTTGAAATTCTGAGCTAAACAAGAACAAAAACAAAAAAATAGACTAGGAGAAGAACCTAAACTTAGTTACAGCAAACCTAACCTAATCTTAAATAAATTACTTTGTTATGAGCAAGTAGCAAAAGTTGATTTATGATAATTAAAGCTTTTAAGTATCTTCTGCTGATTAATCTTGGACTTACTGCCTGTACAGTAGATTCTTAATAAGATGCTATCTCTTTATCTTAGTAAATGCACTGAAATACTTAAGAATATCCTGCTAATGTGTCTGGATATTAGGGAAATTTAGTGACCTACTCAAACCTAAATTTCTAAATAGAACCACAACTACTTGTTATTCTTCTTTCCGATATGAAAATGCCATTAAGCATTTTGTAGGCAAAATACTCATTCCAGTATTTTCCAGGGTAGATATGTCAAACAATTTTTTGTTTTACTTTTCAGGGCAGAAAGATGGAGTTCAAGTCAATGGTTTTGTACTGGCAAAACCCCACACAACCTGTCACCACGAGTAACTGTCTTCCAGGTGTCGTCTTATAATCACTCCACATTATAACGGCTGAAGGAGGATTCCTAAACATTGTTTTTATATTTATTTTATATATTTTATATATTTATTCACTTTGGGTTTGGAGGTTTTTTTTTTTTTTTTTGGACAACATACATAACATTGTGATTCATCCTAGTAGACTAGGTACAGTTCTCTGGGGATTTAAAATCATTTTCTTTGGTTTTGTGGGCCTGATCACACAAAACATCTGCCACTGGACAGTCAAAATCTTGACCTAAAAACGTGCTTGACCTGTCAGAAGGTGGGAAGGGCTCTTCTTTTCTACAAATGCTCATGTCAAGTGGCAAAGAAGAGAGAAAAGTACTTCGTACTGTGGCAGAAGAAAAGTATCTAAGCTCTGGATTATCTAATGCTGACAGCTCACAGGAAACAGAGATGAATGGCCTGGCTACACATTTCCAATATATCCTCTTAGATGAACTCAACTCAGCTCTCATACTTCATGTAAATATAATCATCTCCAAGACTTTGCTCGGTGACAGGTTCATCGCTTAGAAACCCTAAATGCAAGACAGCTAGAAGAAACTTTCCCCACGTTCTCCATTTTCTAAGAGGAAATTCACCTTCATTAGAAAAAAAATGAAAATGTGGAAAGGGAATGAGGCTCATTTTTCAGCATGACTCTCCTGAAAAGATTAAGATTTGGGCATAGAACACTTGGAAGGTACTGCTCTGGGCCACAAGGAAGAAGAATAGAGCGGTTCTCTTCCCAAATGTTAGGACCAATGGGAATGTTTCCATGAAAGACAGTATCTGCACACAATGAATGAGCAGAGATCGATCTCTCTRAAGCTTTTCATTAGGGCTTCCAAATCAATATAAGTAAATTTTGTATTAGCTGACAAGTTTCTTCTTCTTTTTTCTTTTTAAGGCAGTTGGCCAAGAATTGGATATTCATGAGTCACATATGTAAGAAATAATTACTATGGATTTATTGCCTGCAAGYTTGTGGCAGTCCACCAAATTGTATCCTCTCCACTGTCTTTACTCCAAAATACTTCCTCTATTATCAGAATGACCAATTCACATGTAATACACATGAACTGATCTGTAATTCAGTAACTGATTTATCATTAATCATCATCTTGAGAGGACTATGGATATTATGAACCTTAGAAAGACTAACAGGATCAAATTTAGCTAAACAGACTGAGGAATTAACAGCTCTATTTTTCCTTCAAGCATCTCCTATCAAACACTTCGTATTTTTCCATTCTGTCTGGTATGTTCTTATGCCAATACTACTAAAATACATAAGCTAAGTTTTCTCAACTGTAAAGTGCTTTAATTAGAATGTAAAATACAGTACTATAAAATGTAAAACATGAGGTTATTCCTTTATCAGTCCTCCTCCCTCCCCCCAAAAATCCATTTACTTTATGAAGTATCATTTTTAGTTATATACTTACATGATAAAGCGGAACTGTATTGTTTTCTGCTAGTGAGAAATTCAAGACATCTTGCTGTCCAGGTTCAAGCCTAACATTAATAGTGGATGCCAGCACAGGTGGACTAATGGGGTAGTTTGGGCTGCCTGTGTTTTTGCCCTTTTTTCTTGACCTACGGCCTGTGTCCCTTTTGTTGTCTTTCTGCATCAACGGTTCTTCTTGGATCACCAAGATCTTGTCATCACTCAGGTACCGCAGGAGGGAATTCTCAGAATCAGTTGTTGGAGAGAAAAGAAAAGAAACAAGTAAGATGAAAGAAAATTTGGATTTCACTCCTACAGTCGTAAATATTTACATGTGTTACAGACTGAAAATAAACCCTTGTTTAATTTTATGAGACACTTATATAATCCTATATTACTGTTCTGTATTTCAAATACAAGCCATAATAAAGTTGGCTTTAACTGAATGCTATTTAAAAGGTACTTGAGACACAAGGAAAACTGCAGCACAACYGGTTCCAGTTTGCTTCAAAGTACTTGTCATGAAAACCAACCCCTGTGAAATGCCTGTGAAATGTGAAGGCCACTAACAAACTGAGCAACACGCCACAGGGACAGGGGACAGGCAGCACAAGTCGTATCTTCAACATGGCAAGAATTTCAAACCATCTCAAATGATATCTCAAAGGCCTTCCCCTCCAAAAGGTAAGGAGGAAGGGCAGCAAAATGAAAGCCCTTCTCCWGTTGCAACAGAGACTGAAAATAGACAACACAGAAGTAGCTCGCTTTTATTTCTAATGCTATTTTACATTGCGTTCTGTAAGCTGAAGAAATTCTCTTCTGCTGTAGCCTATCCAGAGATATTTGGTGATCTCTTCAGACAGGTRGACAACAGACATCAAGGCTACTACAGGATTTTTACACTATTAAGCTTTGACTAGAATTCTGTCATTTTTAAGAGCAAAAAGACTTTCAGATTGAATACATTAGACAAGTCTATAAATGCTGACTTGAAGTCTATTTTACCAACAAATGGACTTATTTTTAGAGTATAAATCTACTAAACAGATACATATTTATAATTATTTGAAAGGATAAGTTAGTGAATGATGAAAGCAACATAACCTATTTTTTGGAACRATTTCCTAACAGTGTAGGATGTGCTCAATTTTTTGAGTAGCTACAAAAGGTACAAAGCTGAAAGATAACTGGCACCCCTTCTTAAAAATTCACTACYGCATTTTAAATTTAGCATCAGCAATATGGAGAATTAAACCGTAAGGTGACCTTTCAAATAGAACTGAAATTATGTTTTGAAACGCTACTCCCTTAAACCTTTAGGTACTCTGCTATCACCAGACTTCTTCCAAAACTCACAAATCCCACTGAAATCAGTAGAAGCTGATATCATTAGGACTGCAAAGGTGAATGCAGTACAACTGTTGATTTGGTTTCCAATATTCATTCCCATTCATCAAAACACGTCTCAAGGGTCATTATCTTGCATCTATAATAACTTTTCATACAAAAGTGAAAAGATTAGGACTGGCTGTTACCAGCCTATATCTGAATGTTAGAGTCTCTTTATTTCTGTTCCTTCATAATAGAATTAAATTAAATCCCTCACAACTAAGATGATCTTTTCAATTTTCAGAAATACAAATACAATAAATAAAAAAGAGTCTGTGTGGTATCTGATTATCTGTGGCACTCACTAAAACATCTGTTTCATGTGATGACGTTTTCATGTTTCCTAAAGAACAAACAAACAAAGTATTGGAAAAGATTAGAGAGAAAATAATACTCACCTCTGCTTCCCCTCTTGTACACATTTTGTTCTTTGGACTCCCCTGCCCAGGTGTACTCAGTAGGCATAGAAACAGGCCTTAAATCTCCTGGAAACAATTCAAAATGAACCAATATAATTTTTAAAAATTAAAAAGACTGTAATTACTGGAAACTAGAACAGGACACAACTGTTCAGAATAGATGCTGCAGAGTAAGCTTACAAATAACTTTGTGGTGGTTCTTCATTACATTAAGTGTGTCTTTACAGACAGTTTTGCCTGAAATGTACATCCACCATGTCATAGTCTTAGAATAAGAGCAGAGTTTTGGGAAATAACGCAGTGTTAAAGCAGCAATTTGCTAATCTAGTTGATTTAGAAATGTCAGGAAGCCCAGCCTACCATGGGTAGGTGTCTTTTCTCTTCTCCGCACGCCTGCAGCTCTGCTTCGCTCATACTCGGAGCCCACAGGATGACCTTCACCTTCAATTAAGGTGTAGTATTTCCCACTTTCATGATCCAGAAAATAGCTTGGAGACTCAGAACCTTTCATTCCAGACTTTCCAAATTTGCTGATGTCATCACAAGACATTATTCCAATTTCATCCCTGAAAAAAAACCAGGAGATTATGGACAAATGAGCCATTTAATGATAGAGCTAAACTGTACCACTTTCCTCTCCTACACACTACAAATGCAAAAAAATATTCCATGTTTGTGTTTTTGGAAAGTGCAAAAGAGCTCAAGGCAAAGCTTTTAATCTGTAGGTCAATTTTTTTTTTTCTCCCAAGAAAATACATCAGATCCAGCTTTGGCTCTGACAGTGAACACATACTCTAGTATTTTTCTGGCTGAAATGATTTCCCTCACATATATGACTCTTCAAAACACAAGTCTGCTGATCTACCTCCCAGCATGGAGGAGCACTATGACACTGTGCTGTTCTACAGAAATAGGGAATATATTCATATATTCACTATGAAATGTATGAAAGCTACCTCCTCAGCCTCATATTACATGTTAATACTTCAGAAGAAGTAGGTAACTATCTCTAATTCTGCATGCAAGAGATACTATACAGTTCTTTTTATAAGAGAAAAGGGATTCTGTCCTTGGCCTCCTTGAAAGAAAAACAAAGGTAATAAATTGAGAGGCTATCTCTCAATCTATTATTGAGAAAAAAATATAGCAAATAGATGGACATAAAGCAAGACAGTGCCAATACAAAGGTGAGACTAACAGGTGGGGCAAATATTCTGTAACCTACAATCAATTGTTGAAAAAAAAAAAAAAACCCCATGTCTGCATTTCCAGTTTGAAACTGGATTTGGTGAAATGCAAGTTCTGATTCTAAATTCTGTTATTTAGGTTAAAATGTTGAATTACAGCGAACAATGTGTAAGTTTTCCAGTATGTGAAAGCAAGCCTAAGGAATTGGTAGGAGATGCCTTGGCAGAAGCACAAGCTTTAAAACAAGATACAAATGATCAGAGAAGAGTAAACAGAACAAAAAATTATTAAAAGGTTTTGAGTTTTTGTTTTACAATGTTCTGTGATTCCTCATTTAGGACACAAACTAGATTTTGCTAAACTAAACTAGCTGTATGCAGGATTTTCTATCTGACTTACGGCAAGTTAAAAGTCCATCAAAACAATCCTGCCTAATGTATTTCTAGTTCTTAATTCTGGTAAATATTAGTGACAACCCTGAATACCACTAGACTCTCATTGCTGTACTGGAAACACTGCTTAAACACGCCTACAAAGAGTGAAATGTAAAAAGAAGAACAAATATTTTTTATTAATTGAAAGCGTAAAATGTTGTTTTTCGAAACCTCAGCTTCAGTAGGAGCTAAATACCTGGGCCCATAAAGTCCTGACATAGGAGAGAGAATGAAAACGTCCTGGAGCGCCGAGTTCTCCATTTTTGAGGACAGGCCCATGGTGCCGGTCGGGGTGGGAGAGCTGCTTGTAGGACTGCTTGGAATTACAGGCTGTAAAAAAGAAGCACATGAACAATAAACTACTATTTTCCACACTGCAACTTAACAATGCTGTAAAAATGCCTGTTTTCCTAATCACCGAATCACGACCTCTTCATTTTTGGATTAGCCATTTTTGCATTAATGCAGTTTATGCCATAAAGCTGTTTCCTGAAGCATCATTTCAGCAAAGAGTTCAAGATCAGGTATGGACAAAGCTGGTCAATAAAAAGCAAACACACAAACATACCTGCAATTAATTCAAAAATTTAAGATGTCGTTTGGGAAATTCAAAGGTTCTGAATCAAAATATGATTTTTAAACACAGAGAGTCATTTTATCAGTAGGAAGGATATACACTAAGACATAACTGTTAATACAAAAATCARTTATAAAACTCTGCAACACTAGCTTTGAAGGAAAGAGTTCAGAATCATAATACTGTTTTCAGTGGAGGATTTATTGCTAACAAGGACAGAATAGCTAGATTTATGAAAACAAAATATATATTCACCTGTTGTATTTTCACAGAAATTGTGGTTTTGTGTCTTACTTGGATCACAGAGTGTTAAGGTCTATGGTGATCAGCAGTGAAACATTAACTAACGTTCCACATGCTAAAACCTTAGCACTGATGCTGTCTCTGTGTGAAATGGAATCCATACAAATCCCCTAAACACTGAATTGTGCTGAACACACTGCCTGCCAAGGATGTGATGGCTCAAGAGATCAGTGACACAACGCACAGGCTGAACAGGGACACCCTGCACAGGAATTCACTTCTACCTGTACCCCAGTGAGTGCTGGCTACAGACAGAGCCCGGTTCCCTCTCTGGCTTTTCACTGTCAGGGATAGTAGATGCCGAGAACTACAAGTACTGCTGCAACTTGGCAGCATCTGAAAAGGACTACGGATACGGACACAGAGCCCGAGTTCTCAGCTCTCTTGGGCCTCACTAAACATCARAAAAAGCACCTTGTACATGAACTTCTTGGAGGAACATCACTGTTCACAAGCCTCTGCCTATAGCTCACCTATATCTGTATTACTGCACTTAGGCACAAACACACAGACACACACACACAGATTTAGGACATAAAATGATTAATGTGGCCCTGGTAAAAAGTCCSTTTATTGATCAAAATAATTTAATACTTAGTGGAAAAAAAAATTACGAAGTGAGAAGTAACTAGAGAGAAATAACTATAGAAAATTATACAGTCTTCCATAATGCAAATGCAGAAATATAGAAGTATATCATAACATTACTTCTTGGCCAATCCATCAAAAAAGCTAGAAAATCCTTTTTGGGTTTTTTTTTCTTTTTTTTTTTTTTAAATTCCTATTTAGTAATAGGAATACTTCTAGTTAATGTTTTAATGTTATTGTTTTCCCCAACGGACACACCATGCCCCAAACTGGATCTGAAGTTTACAAAAATGTGTAATTATTAACCATTTGGAATTGCAGCTTCAGGTAGATGACTACATAAAATTCTAATAATTTTTATTATTTTCAAGAATAATCAAGAGATGCAAAATTTGCCTAATTTCATCTATGTGATGGATTCCCAAGGCTTTAAATTGTGCATATGCTTAAATGCAATTTAAGTTTAGAGTAGTCTGATTTATGAATCTCTTAAGTATTTACAGAGTATACTGTACATCTATTTAGTGTACATATTATACTGTACATTTAACATATTTAGGAAGATCTGTATCAATTTGCTTATACAAGGAGTCTCACAGAATTTTATATTTAGCTTTATTTTTAACATCTTTTTTTCTRTGCTATTCAGATTATAAATTCCTTGAAACACCTGCAATCATATTATATTTTACAAAATGTATTTTAATGGTGTCTTAATGCTGATTTTTTGCCTTTTCTGTGGTATGAGACAGTTTCAGTAGTTTTAAGCATATGTAAAYAGCCAAGGATCTTGTATTTTAAAAATATTAGTAGCATTTAAGTGTTACACCAAATTCAAAGGAGGATTTTAAGCAACAGTAAATATCACCACTATCAGGACTGGCTATCAACTGCTCTGACAAGCATATATTAAAAATTCTTAGAAGTCCTATATCTCTGTTGAAGTTGAATTACTTGAGGTGATTCTGCAGAGTGTCTGTACACAAATGAATATTTGATAAAATACATGCAGATACATGCATAGGAGAAAAAAATCCCAAACAACCCCAAATTTGTTCTTAAAGGATTCCTAAGAAGTGACACTTTAGTTATGCACTGTGTGTTACTGAYAATATTTAATGAGGATAGCTAATTATCACCAAAATAACAGCACTGATACTCCTTAAATACCAGAATGAAAATGAGACCCAAATGGTAAATTCAGTCCTCACCAGAAATAAACAATCTACCAAATGAGAACACTCCAACTGCTCCACACAACGCATTGCTGTGAATCTCCTCCAGTTTCCAAGTGCTGTGGGATAATTACAGCCTGCATCTATTTAAAAAGTGCTCTTCCAAAAAGTTAAATATTTAATAATACAAATACTGCTCCSGAGTAAGAAGCAGAACTGCTCTTAAGGAGTAAGAAGCAGAACTRCTCTTAAGGAGTATTTCTCACATACTAATAAACTGGCACATACCAGGTGCTGTAAAACAGGTACAATTACACTGTTTTTCATCTTGTGGATGTATAAATCTTTGTAGCTTGAAATATGTAACTTTTCTGACATGTAAATATTAATTTCTGTCTTGAGAGGAAAAGCATATAATGAAATATTTATGAATAATGATAGAAGTCAATAAAATCAGGAGTAGCATCAAGGTAACAAGGAAGTGAGAGTTTCACTGTCTTCTCCAACAAAGCCACTGGGAGAACAAAACGTAACTTTCCTACTTGCCCTATTTTCTTTGTCTGAGGTGTTAAAAGTCTTTCCTTGTCTGAGATGGTCCCACTGAAATATTTAAAGAAATGGGCAGCACATAATTTCAAAGTTAACATAAGCGGTTTTATCAAGCTATCGTATCTGAATTCTGAACTGAGAACTGACTTAGGGGGCCCACAAATATCATCTACATCTCATTTTCCTTCACTCTGCAAGCACCTGTTCTCCTCATGTTACAGACTTCAGCATTTATACAAAGAACATCTCTCCAAATTCAGCTGTTTTTCAAAATCTAAATAAGACAATGAACTAGAATTATTCCCCAGATAAAGCTTCTGAAAATAAATGCACATTATTTTGAAACTGTCACTGTTCATATAAGCTTTACTGCTCACATTACCAACTGACAGATCACTGTATCTCACACAAAGTGACTAAAAAAAAAATCAACATGCAGATCAAGTACTCTTACCAAGGAAGATTATTGCCATTATAAAATCCCCTATAAATAAAAAAATCAATATATGGCATACTCAAATTGAGTAAAGTTGCAGGTGTTCTCATCTTTATTGAAAAAGAGAGCACTATTTGCCACTGCAGGTGAAAGATCTATTTTCTATTGAGCGGTTAGTTCCGAAATGTTCCGAAATGAGAACACTTCCACCAAAGGGAACTCCAGAGCAGTGCAACCTGGCATGACGGAGGGACCAGCGGAGGACAGAGCCCCAGCCCACAAGAGTCTTCTGTCGTTACATAAACACAGAATACTGTGAGGAGACCACGAAGCACATTCTGTAAGAAGGACTAACAGGTTCTGTACTATCAGTACCTCCCAAATTAAACAAGTCGGCATAATCTGTAACTTAATTGTCATTAAAAAACATGAATAATACTTATAAATGTCCTCAAATAAAAACAGAAATAACTTTAAAAAAATCCTACTGAGGACCAAGCTGGGTTAACAAACKCTTCAGGCCTCTGAATTTTAAGTTGTTAAATCCTATTTCCTGGGCTTACAAGTATCTGTAGGGGGAAAGAGWGTGAGAGCCAAGAGTTTGCTCTGTTTTCATGTAAGATTCACATTCAGCTTCTCTTGACACTATATACCATATATGTATTTATTTTTTAAAAACAGAAATACAAAAAAGGAAAAAAACCCCACAACTTAGTGCAAGGAAAGTTTCCTGTCAAAAAGTGATTTAGAGATTTGCTGTTAAAGACTTCATCAGCACTAAGTTGGGATGAAAGAATTTATTCTCTGTGTGTTATACTTTATTGTGTGTGTACATGCATATGTACATATATTCGTAGTGCATGKCCATGCATACATACATACATTCAAATATATTGCCTTATTTTTGAAACAGTGACATCTGCTCAACCATTTCCAGTCTATGCTAGTTTCACACACATCTTTTTCTCCTGAATGCTGCTTAGCTGCATTCATGCAGCTGGTATCTTGTGTCTAACCATAAAACCTTCCATTTGTCTCTGCGAAGAGTATTCTGCTTATTTCTGAGACTGCTCAACAGCCTCTGGGGCTCAGTGAAAGCCACCTGAATTCAAAAAAGCAAATAAAACCAGAAGCCTTCCTCCCAATTCAATGAATTAAGCTGATCTAAAGAATCTAACAAATGCCAAACAAAGGAGAGGACATTCTGCATCCAAGAATAAGGAGAGGGAAATGAGATCACTGCTTTCCAGCAGCATCAATCTGTCAGATCAGCTGTCCAGGAAACATAAGCCTTGTATCTTCTTGAAATTTAATCATACGCCAAGTCCAAGTCTCTAATGAAAATAATAAATAATACCAGCTCCAGGTGAGACAACTGAAGAAAATGGGCAAAATCAGAGACTGCATCCCAGAACTTATCTAGGTATTTGAGCTCACCCCTATGCCATGAAGACTAAAGAAGGTGCTAAGATGATTTAAGATAAAGGAAGATCTTAAGAAAGACTTAAGATGCCAGAGATCAAAAGTTGGTTTTTAGCTTCATATTTCAGTATCTATTGATGGGAAGCAACACTGCCACTAGTCTCTAATTTCTGAGCAGATTTAGACTTTTGCTGAAATCCCTCACTGCATTATTCCCTAGTATAGAAAAAATATCCTAGTAAATATGACTCTAAAAGTGTCCTTTGATCCTCAGGGGTTCTTACCTTCCGCGTCATCAGCAGAGGAAGCGCCACAAAACAGAAACTATTGATATCTGACCAAAAATAGCTCAATGCACTTTCAATTACCTACCTACCATGACACAGGATGTCATGTTTTCCRGAATACACTGGGCTATATATAGACCATACATATTGGTTTCACACTGACAAAACTTCCTGTATTAGTGCTTCTCCTGAATTACATTTTTTAATGTATAAACATGAAAAAGAACTTTTACTGAAGCCCTCCTGTAAATGCAATTTCTATTTTTCTGTCCATGCAAGTTCAAAAGTAGATCCAGAATCACCTAACTAGACAGAAGAATGATACTCCTGTGCCCTCATAAAAATTCTGCAAAGTTTTCAATATCCTCTGGGTCTCACAGCGTCCCCTTTCCTTTCTTCTAAAAGGCACTCACGAAGAAAGGAAAGATGACACTTTAAAGACGTCAGCAACCCCAGGCTGGCAGGTTTAAACAAACTGCTGAAGCGGAGCWGCTGTGCAGGATGAAGTCGCTTGGAGACGCGAAAGATTCGGGAATTGACAGCTAAGAAATAATTTTACCAGAATTGAAGGGTTTGTTTTGTTTTGAAGTTACTCAGAAACACATTCGTGTTTCTAATGATCCAAATAAAATGACACCGTGAAGCTGAAAGCTAATGRAAGTACAGAAACTCTTACAGAATGTTATACTGCATTACATGCAAACATGCATGATCACTAACTTGCTCTTAATAATGTTTTCAGTTCAGTCCTTTTATAGTGAATAAGATTTTATTACATATTTAAATGTTGTAAGAAGGACAAACCACAAAATTATGTACAATTTTTATTTTCCTACGCATGCAGAAAATATGAGTTCTATTAGCACTGCTACCAAAAAACCTCAACTTTTGATCAAAAATGTGCCAAACAAGTAGGTTTTTCCTGAAATACAAAAGCATTGCCACTCAAACACACAGCAGTAGTTTAGACAGGCTCTAAAATAATGGAAAACAGAGACAATGTTCCCCTTGTTAGTCAAAGCAAGCAACCCAGCTGCACCTCCTGCTCACTACTGGAGTTCCTGGAGGCTCCTACTCTTGCCAGTGGAAGGAGCCCTCTTTGGAGGGCTGCATCTTTAATAGARAACAGGATTTACTGGCACATGGGGGTTGCAAAAGCCTTCTTACCTGAAGTGCAAGGGGCTTCCACCTCACATTCTTCAGAAGGGCTGGAGCAGAAACCAGGGTATTCTGAGGACGTTTCTTCAATGTTAAAATCACTCCATTTGGGTCTTCTCGCAAGGCATTTACTAGGTTCTTTAACTGCCAGCCAACCTAAAGAAAAATTCCGTAACTGGATTGTGAAAGCTTTTCATTTAACTGTTAACATGAGGGATGCCTTTTATTAACTGAAAAGGTCTATTACTGCCTGCTCTTTGCTAACGTAAGCAGTTTTTATGAACTGTGCCTCATTGCTTCTGTTGGAATTATACTGTTGATGCTCAATTATTTTTGTTATTGTTTTTAAGCAAGACTTCTTGCCAAAACAAGGCATATGTCAACTCTCTACCCCTTTTAATTATCTGTGATCCTAAATCAAATTTGGAAGCAGAACTGACATCTTTTACAAAGTTAAGATACAACAAGTAACACTAAGTTTGACCTATCAGAGTCCACTAGGACACTTTTATTAAAACTGCTTTTTTGACCATTTGTATGTACAAATTTAATACATGTTTTCTTACTATTACTGAAACAAAAAGAAATATTTAGGTGTTCAGAATCAGAAAAACAGTGTGTATGTGAGGCATGGTTTGCAAGTACTTTCTCTTACAGAGGGAAAATATCTGATTTCAAATGAATTTGGGAAGAAAATAAAGGTAAATTTGAAGAGACTTCAATTCAAATTAACTTCTCTTCAGGCCTTGTAAGACAAGATGTAAGTCATAAGGTTCTAATCTCCCCCCAAAGCAGAGCAAGGCCAGGATTGCATGCGTGAACAGCGGGTAGTTTACAAAAGGTTTGCATTTGGATTTGAATGTTAAGGCTTGGAAAGAACTGTCTTATGTTTAATCAGTCTGATAGTATCTAAATAGTTTAAGYTCTTGATGTTTTTACTGAAAATCTAAAAATGCTTTGACCTGGATTCTGGATTCTGACAGGAATCCAGGAATCAGCAGCAAATTATGAACAGACCAAAACCAAAAATATTAGAAAACTGGCAAGGAGAAATGCTAAAAAAAGTGAATTACATTTAATAGATAGTTTTGACACAAAGAATACTCTGGACTTTTAGGCACGAAATGTATTTGTGATTTGTGTATGTCAACATCCATTCCTCATGAACTCTTCCAGTTTTTGCTTATAAAATGTCAGGGGCTACTTTTATTTTTATTCAGTTACAGAATTAAAAAGTAACCCTTTTTTGAATTTCACAGATTGCTGTAATTTTCAGAATGCTGAAACCTTTTTAATTTCATGAGTTCCTTTTAGAAAAGAATGATATATAATTAACTTAATGATAAATTATTCCAACGAGAACCTTAATGACAGAACCATTAAACACTGAGATCTATTAGAGAACAGTCTGCAATCATTACTAGTAGGCTATAATAAAATGCTCTTAGGAATTTGGACATATTATTATAAATTGTACTACTAAAAATATCTTCAAAAAAATAGAAAGAAGTCATTAAAATGGATTAAAAATCTTAGCTGAAAAMCAGTCCTTGAGACAGACTTTGACATATATCCTTAAACTTAAAATCAGTCTTTAATAGCGATTAGGAGCTTCTAGCTATAGCGAGAAATATTCAGCAAAGGGTATTTTACTCCTCTAAGTCTTCTAGCATATACATCCAGTTAATTAGATTCTGTAATATGGGCTAAGATATTTCACCCATGAATTAAAGTTAACACTAAAATTAGACTAATAAAATATGTTTTTTTCCTCTGAATTAAAAAAAAAAAGGAGAAAAAAAARRGAAAAAAAAGAAGAARAAAAAAAAAAAAAGGTTTCAGGAATGACATCCAGTTTCCTTGACATGAAGTGGCCTCCAAACAGAATTTTTCAGAATGCATCATGCCATACATTTACAAAGCACAGCCCAACTGCTCTGGAGTGACTGGATAGAAAATCCAGCTGTTTGCTTTGCTTTTCCTGGGGATGAAGTGCAAGTGTGGATCCACAGGCTGCTTTATCAAATCCTTAAAAACTGTGAGGACTCTTAAGAATGAAGGCAATTTAAGGAGCACAGAAACACAGAGTGCATCTCACAGAGGGAAGAGGGGGTTAAGGGGAGGTCAGAGCCTCATTTCTTTGTGCGAGCTGTGCAAGCTCTGCTCCCCGCATCTTTTGCTGAGCTTTAATCCTACCTAGCCAGGAGAGACACTGAGCACTCATCTAACGGAAACTTTACCAACTTGTTTACTTCCTTGTTAGGCATTTCATCAGGAAATTAAATGTACAAAACAGTATTTACTAAATACCTAAAACACATGTAAATATGCTGCATACCACCTGCAAACAAGAAYTTTTATTTTGAGACTCCAGTAGGACTGAAACCTTTCGTTAACCAGCACAGATGCTTCCCCTCAAGGCTTTTGTAACACATAAGCTAACCCATCTGGACACTTACTTCTATCTCAAGAGTATCATCTTTCTTCATATTTATACAAAAAAAATAAAACCAGGATTTTCTAAACAGAGTTTTCATTAGGAAACAAGAGTATCATCCTTCTGGACTGCTATTAATTTACTGTGCTTCACAATACTGCCTAGATTGGGGWGGGGCAAATCAAGACAAATTGCATTAACATGGAAATCAGAAATGATTATTAGAGAAAAACGTGGGTTCCTGACACACCTGATCTTAAAGCCCAAAATCCAATATACAGTGAGCAGTGTGAAAGGGTATTAGGCTGCTGATCATGAGCACAGAGCATTCTTCATTCCAGAGGATAATCTCACCTGCCATTAAAATGCAGCTACAGCATTTAAAACCAAGCGCCRTTCAGAGATAGCCCAGCAAGGAGCTCACACAGCAGCTAGGATGGAACACATCCCTCCAGGCCACCACGTCCAGTTACCCACTACACAGCTGCAGGCAAACGCTAAGTAATTGTTTGGATCCGTTCGTACATCACTAACCAAAAGGACAGGGTGCTTAGGCTCCTTCCTCCTTTCCTTAATTTTAGAAATACATTCCAGAATCTCATTGCATTGCTGGTTAATAATAAAAAAAATAAACTTTAAAATTTTAGCACAAATTCATGTATGGATGCTTGTAGGGACGCTCCTCTTTCAACACCATGGCTTACCTTTACCATAGTAAATTCTTTTCCTTCCCAGTCTTTATAGGCCCTATGAAGCTCATACCTAGCTGCCTAGATTAACCAAACTAAGAGCCTTTATACAATCTCTTCATGCAAGACAGATACTACAATATTTTGCAGTATCTTTTTGAAACACTTTTTTAATACTTAATGAATGTAAATTTACTTTTGAGGCCTGCAACTGACCTGCTTTTTGCACAGTATTTCAGACAAGGTTTTATCAATGTCAAGACGATGGCATTAATACACTTTCTCCTGGAAACATGTTCCTGATTAATTTCAGGTTCATCTTTGCCATTTTGAGTCATATCATCTCCATGGCTCCAAGTCAACGTGAGGCTAATTACTCCACTCTGACTTCTGGATTCTTGCCACTTGCTCTTGAGTAGCATGTAGCTTACAGCAGGCATTATTAAAAGCACTTTTATTGCTCCGTGCTCTAACAAATGAGCTCCAAATTTTAATCCTCAAAAACAAACAATTCCCCCAACTCAGTTTCCCCCAAATCAGTTTTCTCTTATCCAACACTTTTCCATATAAAACTACATGAAGTTATTTTACAGATGGTCAGTCAGCTGGATCAATAGTTGGACTGGTAACACTTGCATTGCTTGAAAAATGATTTATCAAAAGCAGAATATTAGCTTGACCTACTCCTCATAAGTTTATACTATGTTTTAGCTAACACTACATTTTTCCATGTCTTTAATCATCCATTGCTCCCTGCACTACCTCCAAAGTGTTACCTATTATTGACTAATAGGCTTTTCCTTTTTCTCTAAGTTACCTAATTTTGCTTCACTCCTGAATATCTGTATATCTGTATGTTTGTTATGGCTTGTTTCTTTCCTTCTCCTATGTTTTATACCACTACTACTTATGGCAAATTGCTCTTAAGTTTCATTTTACCCTATTTTCACTATATGGCAATGCCAAGTCGGCAACCAAAAATCATGTATAAAACAACTAAAAAAAATAATTTTAGTCTCCTTTTTATTTCAATAGCAGAAAATATATTATTCACATAATATAATTTAGTAAACCGGTAAATATACTGCAGGGTACTAGTGCTTCTATATAATTCTGTAAGAGATCTGTTGATCTTTACAAGGTATTGATAGAATTAGTGCCCGCTTATACTGCTAGGAAAAAATAAAGAGTCTGTGTGATGTTAAAGTTAGAATGCAGAAGTTATTTTTTACAAGTTTCTTAAATTCTTACACGAGAATCTAATAAGCAAGGAGAAGGAAGAAAAAAGCAAATATGAAAACTGGACAACAATAAAATGATCTTAACAGTTAGTGGTGAATAGTCTGATTTAATTAATTTCTTGCCTAAAGTACATTTTGCTTTGATCTTCATAATTGTATTACTGTTCCTTGGACAGGCCAAATTCCACATCCCATGTTTTATTTCTATTTCAACTGCTGCATTAGATATTTTGTAAACTTTGGTACTTTTGAATGTATTTTAATTCTGAGCTACACTGAAAAGTTATTTGGAAAGTAAAATACCATCTCACTTTGTTAGTACTGTTTATATACTGGGTTTAAAAAAACAAAGAGCATGAATACAGTCACCTCCTAGCTCCTTTATTTAGTATAGTTAATGTTTTATATAAAATAATTATATAAATAATAACAATTATTATGAAAGTATACAGCCGAAGTATTCTAGACACATCAATCCCAAAATGCTTAATGCCACACTTAAAATTCCCCAAGTCTATCTGACAGCTTTATAACCCAGAGAAAGGCCTAAGAATTACAAGTGCTGTTATCTGTAGGGCCTGCAATGGATGGCAGGCACTGCACGATTCTTTCCAGCTCTGCATCTTCTCCAAGGCATTTAAAAACTTCCTCCTCTTACAGGTTCAAAACAGGTTCTGACTCTTCTCTTTAAATGGACCTCTGAGGGGGTGGGGAAAGGGGGAGCAAGGAAGTCGAAATAAAACGGAAACCACAGTTTTTGTTTTAAAAGGAAAAAGTCAATTAGAAGAATCRAGAGAATCCTGAACAGCTGGGTTTGGAAGGCAGCTCTGGAGATCATCTGGACAATTCCCCCTGCTCACGTAGGGGCAGCAGAACAGGTTGCCCTGGACCCCACACCCATTACGTTTTCAGTATCTCCAAGGAGGGAGAGTCCAAGTTCTTGCCTGTATTTGCAGAAAAATGAGAACAAGCCTTCAGGAACAGGCAGGCAGCAGCGATATTTCTCAGCAGGTGACTATCTCAGCACAGAGGTACTGCCATATGCATGGATGAATCTGCTTTTGCTGCACAGCTCCGTAACTCCGTGTTAAATAGGCAAAGCGTTTCAGTTGGGAATYGGTAGAGGTCGTCAAAGAGGGACAGGCTTTATGATGAAAAACTCAAACTACACAGATTACTTAGCTTATCAACGACAAGGTGAGAAGGTAACTTGATTAGATCCTGAAGGTATCTAAATAAGAAATAGGCTTGACAATCAAACACACAAAAATGTATTAAGATGAAAGGACTGGATGCTGATGCAAGACAAAGGGAGACTACAAACAAAATGTGACAGGATTTTTTTTTCCCTTTGTCAATAAGAATCATGAACTACTGGAATAATTTATCACATGGTTGCAAGATCATCATTGAAAATGTAAAAATCAAATGATCTTAGTAAGTAAGCAAACGTGAATTCATCTGCAAAATACAATGGTCTAGTTTCATTAAAACTAGATGAGATGATGTCTATAGTCAATTATACGATCCTAATCTATTAAAAAAACCTTTCTCTAATCAAGAATCACAGAATGGCTGAGATTGGAAGAACCCTCTAGAGATAACCTAATGCAACCCCCTRCTCCAGCAGSGACACCCAGAGCTCGGGGCACCCGGTCGCATCCAGGTGGGTTTGGAAGATCTCCAGAGAAGGAGCCTCCACAGCCTCCCTGGGCAGCCTGTGCCAGGGCTCGGGCACCATCACAGTGAAGTTCTTCCTCACACGCAGATGGAACTGCCTGGGTTTCAACTTATATCCATTGCCCCTTGTCCTGTCACTGGCCACCACTGAGAACAGTTTGGCCCCTTCCTCCCTACATTCCCCCTTCATGTACTTATACATATGAATTATACATTAATCTCAACCTTCCCTTCTCCAGAGTAAACAGACCCAACACAGTCTCTCCTTGTACAAGAGATGTTCCAGTCCCTTCCTCATCTAGGGAACGTCCAGTGCAGAGCGACCAAGAACCTCCTAGTCCCCCTTGTCATGGGGAGCCCAGAGCTGCCCCCAATACTCCAGATGTGGCCCCACCAGAGCTGAGCAGAGGGGCAGGATCCCTTSCATGCCCTGCTGGCAACRTCCTCCTGATGCATTGGGCATCCTACTGGCCTTCTTGCCACGAGGGCACTGCTACCCCATGGTTAACTTGGTGTCAACCAGGTCCCTCTCTGCGGAGCTGCTCTCCAGCAGGTCAATCCCTAATCTGTRCTGGTRYCYAGGGTTATTCCTSCCCARGTGCAGGACCCTGCACATATCCTTGTTGAACCTCAGAAGGTTCCTCTTTGCCCAACTCTCCAGACTGTCCAGGTCCCTCTGAATGGCAGCACATCTGGAGTGTAAGAAAAGTGTGAGGAAGTATTTTTACTAGTGGCAATATGAAAAGGTTGTATCTAAGCATCATCTTCAAAAGATTTCTAAACACATTATGTTGAACAGAATTCATAATTAAAAGACTACTCAAACACTAAAGAAAATTCTATCTTGAAAAATGTCTTTGTTAGGACAGGGAAAATTCTTACAGTATGCAGAATATCCAAAGCAGAGCAAAATCCAACAGAAAGCATTTCTGCAGCACTGTCTGCATTTTGCTCCCGTATATATATATATATATTTTATGAAAGCATGGAACCTCCCTTACAAATCAACAGGTAAAAGCAGGCAAAAGAAGCAATATTAGCAGCTKTACTTTTTTCACCTGCACTTCTAATGCTTTATGTATGTGTGCCCCTGTGGAAAACTCATACGGAAACAGAGACAACAGCCATGACAGGATACAAAGAAGTAATATTTTGACCACACTGGAAGTTCTGTAATGAGTAAGGAAGTTGTTCGTATACTCTGGGTAATGTTCACCTCACGTAACAATGCCAAATCCTTCTTTAAAATTAATCCATCACCATGCTTAATTTAAGAAATTTGGAAATGCTTCAGCTCTGGACCAAGGGGGAAATAATGGCAGGCATGATACTGATCATGAGAATTCACGGTGATGGGTGAAGGAGGAACAGATAAGTGTAGCTTGTAGTACAACATGTTCACACAGCAAGACACACCGTGAGTGACTTAAAAGGGCAGACCTGAAGATCAAAAGTGATACTGAAGGCCTTAAAATTCTCCATCCATGGGGACAGGAGAGTTAGACAGAAACCTCTGGCACAAAAAGCTCAGYGTTACCGGCCGTCTCTCCAAAGCCACTGAGAATAAAGAATGAGATTTTCTCAACCACTGTAGAGGAAGAGTAAGTTTCCATGAGCACCARCTTGCCATTTCTCTCTTTTTTAGCCCATAATAAACTTCAGAATTAGTAACTAGTGGAGGACTTTTATGAGGAAGCTGGTTTATGTCACTTGACRCAGCTGTGTGCTTTGTGTCATTTAAGTGGAAGTGGTTACACACATCCAAAGCCATGGCCTGCTGTAGTATCACACATGAAAACAAGAGTTGCTGCCCAGAACACCAATTGCCGAGAAGCTCAATGAACAGGTTTCACTCGACTGGACTCAAGATTAAATCAGATCTGTCACTCTGAGAGAGTAAGCTTGACAGAGAAAACCAGTCTAATGYATATTTCAAACTGTGATTATGACAACTCATAAAACCTTTTTGATGTATCTAAGAGCGATAGTTTGCACCAATATTTTCAGAATAACTAAATTATACTACTTTTAAGAGCAAATATTTGCACTACAATCGTAAGAATTTAATAGTTCTTTCACATTTTTATCTTATTCAAATGACAAAGAAACAGAACAAGGTTTTACAGTTTTGCTCTTGCTATGTTCATTTTGGGGAGGAATAAATGGCTACWTTATAAGCATTTCATATAAATTATTGCCTTCATTTTAACAGCATTTGTGGCTAAACTGTGGGAAATACAAGTGTTCCACAGCACCTAGAAGCTCCAAAATCACTCATTCCATTTTTGTTTTGGAGAACAAGTCCTTATGACTGACAATACTACAGGGACAAAATTTAATAATAATCTATAATAAAATAATCTTCCACCCTGTCCTGTACATGAGATGGATACTCAAAGATGAAAAACAATGAGGTCGGCTGACCTTGCAGTTAGTTAACTTCTTGTTAACTTGGAAATTAGATAAATCTGGTAACTGAAACAACTAATAGGGACAGTATAGACCAAAACTTGAAGCTGGAAAGTTTAAACACATCAGCTCCCTCAAATGGCCTTTGCAGCAGATCCACTAGGCTGCCCAGTTTGCTAGTACAACTCAGGGAATGTCCCCCACCACAGAGGGGGAAGGCTGAGCTCTCTCACCATTCTTTAGGAAACTATTTTGTTCATAACTTTACGAGATCAACAAATTATCCAGTCATATCAGCCAACTAGCAAATTAATTAACTAGAGAACTAACAATTTAAGGTAGTCCACATAAAACGGATTGAAGCCTTGTTTGCTTGTACGTTTGTTGCTTTTTGCTTAATGAGGTCATAAAAATGAAATCTGTTTCACACAGTACACTATCCTGCAGACCTGACGCAATCAGAAGCATGCAAAACACGAGCTCCGACACCTTCAACTCAGCATTCAAGRGCACACAAAAGCAAAACCTTACAGATTCCTATCCATATTCTAATCTCATCTTGCATGCTTCCTCCCTATCCAACCAACTCCATGGCTCCAATGGCCATTACTCCAACTACATGGTTGTTACAGCACTTCTGCATTTTGAAGATAAATCCCAGAATAAAGAGAAGGTAGATTAAAGAGAACCTGTGTAAGAGAAAGGGTAAACCAGCTGGCAAAACCATAATGAAAAGCCTAAGAGTTTTAATAAAAATGAATTGCTCTTAACTGCAGATGAAACATTCTGGGATCTCCTTATATAAGGGGTATGACAATGAACAGCAACTATACAAAACAAGTTTGACTTAACCTTTCTGGGCTTGTTAATCATTCAACTTGTGCCTTTCCTCAGTGGGCATCAGCTTGATCATGGTATTTTGGAAGGTACAAATAGTAATATGATTTGGCACAATTAGCTGCTGAAAAGAATTATTATGCTTTCAACCTCAGGATAAGCCTGCAAAGCAGAATTTACCAAGTACTTACCACAGTTTGATGGTTGACCTGGATCACCTCATCTCCTGCATGGATTTTCTTACACTGGTCAGCAGGAGACTTAGGAAAAGAGAAAACCATTAACTCGATGCTCAAGACTGGGGGCAGTAAATGTTGAAAGAGGCAAGAAACTCCATCCAAGAAAATAATAATATTAATAATTAGTTGTATTTATAAAGACCGTGTTCTTAAGTTCTCTGGGTATAAGTGTTTTCTCTTAAAGCTAGTTTTTGCATTATAAAATACACTGCAAATGTACAGAAAATACTTTTATGCATGATAAAAAGTCTTTTAAAGAAGCTTACATTTTCAGTTGTTCCTGTGATCACATGTAGCCCATCATACGTTGACTTGATGTACATTCCCTGACAAAGAGAGRAAGAAGAGTAATTAATATCTCTAGCTAACAAAGCAATTATGTTTGCACAGTAATAAAAAAAAAAGTATCCTTGTTCTGTTTTAATGACAATGACATTTCAAGAGACTGGCAGGAACCCTCGTGGAACAGCATTTTCAAATCTGGGTTAAAACAAGCATATATATTAAAAGGAAATGTATAGACTACAGTAATTATTTTATGTGTTTTTTTAACACACACACTTACTCTCCAAAGGTTTTGAGCAGAACTCACAACTTCCATCAGCGTAAAAGCACATGACGTTTTTGAATATTTTTAAAATATACGCCGCTTGACTGCTTTATTAGTGATGTAAAAGGAGTAACAAATTTGAAACAACAGTAATAGCCTTCAAACTTAAATGCTGTCTTCAGAGAGATAACACCACTTAGAACATGTATTCTTTCTGAAGGACACTCTTATGTCAATGTTATCTTAGGGCTGGGGACACTCCTCCTAYTTCCCATTTTTAAGGGCTTAAATCTCCAGGCTTATTTTAAGTGATGATCTCCGGTGTTGCAAGTTCTCTGATGTTTAAATTGCTCAAATACATCTATGAAGTTGTGCTATGGATATAAACAAAAGCTTTAAGGAATCATCTTCATCAAACTTAATGGAAAAAGGAAAAATCATCTACCTCTGACTTAGAAACTGAAAAATGTGGTCAAAACTAGAGGGCTGTTAATTCTATAAACCAAGTAAAAGCATGCAAGTGCTCACAGCCTGAACTGAGTGAAACAGCTGCACCTTGCTTCAACTTAACAGGCTACTGGCCATCTTTTTGTTCATTATTCCTTTATTCTCTTTCCACTACAATAGGCTTTTTTTTTTTTTTTTTTTTTTTTTTTTGTGTGGTTAATAAGCCTAGAAAAGAATCAGAATTCAGGCTGAAAAAATGTTCTGTCCAATAAGGCAAGTTATATGCCAAATAATGCAACTCAATACTGCAGTGGGAAAATGGAAGCCCGAAGCCTCTTTTTCCCAAGCCCAAAAAGGAATAACYGGGCAGATTCTATTTTGACACTACTGGAACTGTGATAAAGAGATATCATTTGCAATTATTTTCTCCTCTATCTGTGGCTTAAAAAAAAGTCATATTGATTGAGCATATTCAAAGCAAATATATTCTTCTGCTTATTCTATAATATCTTTACATAGGCCTTAACCTTCAATTATTTTATTAACTACTATTTTATAAAAGGGTATATACAATCATTATTTCAATCATACTAACTTTTGTTATAAAATTTGAGAGAAACGAACATATACTCTTCTTAGTTAATTATTCTCACTTTTTCTTTTACAAAAACTGCATACCAACCATCTCACGGATCTTGGCCATATTAACTACAAAATAAAATGGGATAATCAGAAGCTAAGAATAGTAGAACACGTGTTTTGCCAACGGGCTTCAGACCAAAAGMGCACAAATGATGCAAGTCCGGATCCTGGAACCCATCCTGGGCTCCAGAGAGGCGATTGTCTCAGTGGGATATGATTCTTTCATTGTCTCCAATTGTCCTCTCCAATTTCTCTCCATATCACACATGAACCTAGAATGTGTTCTTCCCAACATAAATTCTTCTCCTGTCTAGCTAACAGCTCTTAATGTAACAGCACTATGCCTCTTCTGAGGCACATATGATAAAAAAATAAAAAGGAAGAGATACTGTTTTAACTTTACTGTTTTTACTTTAGTTAAAACTAAAAAGCAGACAGGATAAGAAGATATTTTAGGAAAGAGAAACAGGAAAGCTTGAAAATGCAAGAATAGGAAGTCAGAAAATGTTAGAACTGAACCTATTCAAATGACATAGTCACTTTTGTGAAAATGTATTATGATGCAGAATTTTGCTAAACAATTACACACAGACTGTATCTGAAAATACATACACAAARTATCTCCTTTTAAATCCTGAACAAGACTTACAATTTTGACAAAAAAMTGTTCTCTGCATGAGATTCCTATCTATAAAATTAGTATTTCAATGTAATTTTCATAAGCATGTTGCAAGGATGAAATTATCACCATCCATGAAACACGTGAGAAGGCCTCAATGAAATCAGTAACCCAAGAGAATGCAGAACTTAGATGAAACGTGGCAAGTAAGACCTCATCTATGCACTGGACTGCAAGGATAAAAATGGACCTCTAGATACTTGCTGTTCAGTGAATAGCACTCAGTTCTCTCTTGTATGGAACACAGATCCTGTAGAAAAAACCTGCAATCATGAGAACGCTGTTTGTGATTCATTACTCTGTCCTATATTTGATCTCAATTGTTTGCTTTTTTGAAYGATTTATCTTCTCTTCCCATTTATAGTGCTGTTTCATACGTTTTTCTAAACAGAACACAGATTCAGCAAAACGGAACCTTACGAGGAGCTTGCCAAGCTAGCGTGTTACACTGCCCTCACAACTAGGGCACTCAGTGAACTCAGTCATTCGTGGTGGTTTCACCTCACCCAGAAGACATTTGAGCAGCAGTTCCAACCACAGCATGCCCTTCATCAGCAGGGCCCACTTACTGCAGCTGCACTGGCTATAAAATTTATCACTATTTTGGCGATTACATTATGGTTCTTCCAACCAGTGGTAGGGCCCAGGTTGCAGCACCGAACAGCACAGTCCCTCTCCCTTTGATATTCTGTGAGAAAACTGGGCAGCTGGGAACAAGCCACAGACCACAGGACAGGCAAGAACAAAACAGTATCTTGGTCAGCCAGGTCTTAAGGGTTTAAATTTATTCCTGTAYTGAATGACAAGCCTTTGAAGGAAACTCCTGCCTCACAGGACCRCTGGGAAAGGCATCTGTCTCTTCCAGAGAAGACACAAGAACACCCCAGTGTTTGCAGTGCTACTTTATAACCTAGATTTTAATAGTATCTTAAGTTTTCAAGTACAATCCCTAAATCTCCTCAATTCTACCGATATTAAAATGCCCACAGTTTAGAGCAGTAGTAAGGGGAGAGAGAGAAGCTTTGAGAGAGAAGCTTTGATCCATTGTACCCTAAAATCCCACAAAAATCAGTTGTCCAAGGAAGTGTAACAGCTCATCAGTGTTTTGAAGTAGTAATCCAATAACTATCTTTTTTTTTTTTTTTTTTAATCAACACTGCAGATAATTTTAATGCTATGACCCATTACTAACGTAGARCAGCTGGGACATGCAAATGATTTTTACTCTTCTGTTCAGTGAACAAGTACATACAATTTAAGGTATTTGTTTCTGAGATCATCCTTCTGAAAGTTTTATTTAGCCTGAATTGCAAAAGAAGCATGCAATAATTTTAATGCTAGCCTAAGGAACAGACCATGAACTACTCATTTTCAAAGCACTCTAATTGTTCTTGATCCCAAAATATGCGCACATAAACAAACAAAATGAACTACTCTGACATATTCCAAAACTGTAATACAGCTGTAAAAGGACTTTAAACTGTACTTTTGTTGCTCCTATAGTTACCCATAACATATGAAGCCCTACATAAATACATCTTAAAACCCTGTTAATAAAATATGTATTCTTTGAAAAAAAGCTGAAATCTGAAATTACCTTARAAAACTTAGGCATACATTCAATATTCCACAATTAAACGTAGCTCTGCTACTTACCAAACCCTCGCTGGGCATAATGCTGGTGAGATGAACCACCTCGAGATGTGCTGACTGTGACACCAGAGAATCAGATGAGAGTGAGATAATGTGGTCACAAATCCCAGACAATGTTTTACACTACAAAGGAAAGCACAATGTCATTTCTCATATTAACTAAAAGTATTTGCAAATAAGTGTTTATTTTGAGAGCTACCTATTTTGGCTCTTAGAAGCATAGAAGCTTAGAAGCATAAAAAATAAWAATTGTCAAGAACTAAATTGCCATATATAAAAGTCAAGAACAAGATGTTAAAAAGAAWCTGTTTATATCCAAATAATATACATGCATGTACAGATACTTTGTCCGAAGCACTTCATTTTCTTTACAATATATCACTGAATGAATTGGAATGGAAATCAAGTGAAACTTGTATTAAAAAAAGATGTGGGGTTTTTTGGCTATCAAATATTGACAGCAACCATAATATCATTGATAACACAGGGTGAATTCTGCTTAAAGTAAGACTGACAGAAAAGTGCCTTAGTTACTCCATTTCCTGTTTAAGGAAAACTCTCATGCGACTTTGAAATCCCTSCTTTAGTGAATAATCTAAATCACTGTGATTATGTAATAATTATATTCTCTATTATACTGCTTTTTAGGTAAGGATCTTACAATGGTAATGCCACAAAACTCCTGTGAAGTAGGAACTCTGTTTCATTGTTGGTAACAATGATGCAAACTGATAAAACCAATTCACCAAAGCCCACCAGAATGCCCACCTACCAGAAAGCAACTGCTCCAGACTCTTAGAGAATCTCCATGTGGAAAGATTTATTCCCACATTTGCATGTGTTGCTCAAACTGCTCCTTCAAAAAAAAAAGTAGGCCTAAAAATATATGATCCTTATCTGAAACTATTCATTTAAATGAATCTCAGAATGGTCTTCTGGTTGAAGTTGTGTTGTATGCCTCTATTTTCCTTCAGGGACTACACTGTCATTCTCCCTAATTACAGCAAATGGTAGCAAAATCCCTTAAGAGAAGTTTTATTTTAAGCRTTTTTAAAAGCATAAGGATTTCAAATATCTCATTTGACACTATCCATGCAAGTTAAAACAAATAAAGTCTTCACAATGAATAAATAAACTGACTGAATTTATGGATTATATGCTCACTTGGTGTTTATTTACTCATCTGGAAATTCAAGTACAAGTGTGAAGTACTGGATGTTGCCTATGTAATTTTCTATCAGCTACAAGATGCAAAGCATCGCAGTCAGGCATGCACGGCTGCATCTAGATATCAACAAAATAACAGAGGTAACACCAGTAATTTTAATTTTGGAACAAAACCCTTAAACAGTATTTCAGATATTTTTGCTCATCAGGGATATGGAAACCAGCTCAATAACGTACTTTACTGTTATTTTACATACAAACCCATGGCTTTATGCCTGTGTTTTCCTCTAGCTTTTCAATTTTAGTTGCATCAGAATTCAGATATGATTGCACACTTTCCTACCCCTTCCCCTTTTTCTATATCACATGCACAGACTGAATTTCAGGGAACACTTTCTGTTTTTGGAGACAACACTTTGCTGTTATGACATGTAAATACTTTGTTCTCTCAAGCAAAGTTCTCTCAAGTGTTCTCTCAAGTGTTCTCTCAAGCAAAACTACGTGTTTTTTTAAGATCTTGCCAAGATGCAGAAAAATCTATGTAGGATTTTAGCATCAAGACAATATTGAAGTATATCAAAAACTTAAGTACTTTAGTAAAAAACTTAAGTACTAAAGTACTTAAAAACTTCARCCTGAAAATAGTTCAGCAGATGTGAGAGGCCCGGCACAAGTTATAAATAATGCAAAGGCTAAGACTGTATAGGTGGGAACATTTGAGGAGAATTTACAAATAACAGGGACAGGGAACACTGCTTGATGTAGCACTAGGAATATGGCAAGATACATTAACAGATGTTAGAACATTTCTGCATAAAAAGCAAGTTGAGAGAGGACCAAAGACTGCTGGGCACCACTTGTGAAAGGAGAGAAGCCAAGCAGGCTCTCTGCAGGTGGCGCAGTACCACCACGCTTAGGACAAAAGCAATGAAAAGCTCCAAACAAAAATGGGTTCTTCATGAAGTTCAGTACCTGCTGCAGAAGGAATCTATGTAAGCCTTAACAAACTATCCAGGACCTAAATTATTTTATTGTGTTTCTCTCAACAGGGCACAACAAGAACAGAATTTATGAACACTAAGTCTCAAGCAATTCATGCAAGCTAGTATGTCACAGAAGCATTCTGAACGCGACAGACACTATTATGTTTGCCCTATGGCTAGAAGTGAACAATTATCCGTATTTATAGCAGACAGAAGGAGCTACTACCGCATTACTTTTAAATGCAAGTGTACTATATTAGTATGAAGAACTGATGCTGCTGAGCAGACACCCACACAAGAAAACCTGACTCTCAGAGGAGCTCTGTGGTATCTGTTAAGTGATGCTGAAGGTTCCTCCTTCTTAATTCATCTTCTCCTGTCACACCCGGGCTGTGGATTAGACACAACCTACCCACACAACTAGTGAGAGAAGGGATCTCCACACGTGCCACCACATCACCTAGGCATCAACTGCCTCCTGTGGCCCTCCTTCAAACAAACACGTAGCTCACCGAGGCTCTCAGGTAACCAAACAGAAAAGCAAACATCATTTTACAAGTCCTTCTCTCACGTGTAAATCTCATTCCTGACCTTTTGTCTTGATTTTAAAAATAAAACAAAACTCCACATGACATTTAAAAATTTAAACTCACTCATCTKTCTTCCTAATTCAAATCTCCTACTGCAGCCTTGTAGGACTGTACATAGGTGGTAATATTATCAAACAACCGCAGGCTGCAAGGCCACCAGTGGTCCTAYGGTCAAGCACAGACCTTATTCACTACCCCTAATGCCTGGAATTTGTTTAATCTCATTATCCTTTATCAAACGCGATAATAATTAGCATACCAGATATGGCAGAAGCGCAGCTAGAGTCTATGAGCAAGCAAAAACTGTAGCATAATAACGAGTTACAGATTAATTACGAGTTACAGTAACCAAAAAGGCATGTACAAACCAACTCCCTAAGAGAACCCTAAATCTGAGGAAAGAAGGGTAAGAAACTGACACCATCAATTCTATCCTCTCCCTGGAGGAGGCACCTTGTTGAGAGCATCCCCAGCCCTTCTACCGAGCCAAGACCCCGGCCAGTGACCTCCAGGATCATGATGACCAGAAGAGCCTCAGCTATAAGGGACAGCTTACTAAAAGACAGTAAGACCTGCAGGTAGTTTATTCACTTTAGTAATTCCCCCTTTGGCTTTTTAATTAAAAATTTTGGATTAGTGGTATGTAGGTGACTAGCACTGGCTCTGCCTTCATATTATCAGACTGGCAATAAAATATTGGATCCACATATACTGTTCACTTTTTGTACACAATAAAATTTTGAATGTAACACCATTTATACTAAGACATGATGCACTGTTGACCACAATGAACTGGTTCTATATTCTCATCATCAGTTCTCTTTTGTCTTTCAACCTCAAATGGCTCTAAAGCATTCAGTAAAATTTAGCAAACACAGTCCTATAAAATGTCTGGAGGTAAGTTGTGACAGAATTCTGCTCAATTTTAATTCAAGAGCATGAACTCCAAGGGATTTATTACTGACATGATCTGACAGGTCAGGATAARGCAATAAAGAACGTGCTCACCTTCAAACAGTTCAGGGACATCAGTCCCAGGGGCCAATTTTTGATGTATTACTCCCACAGACTGTGCTTGATTCTGGATAGCAACCAGCACTTGACTAGTGATTTGAAAGAGCAAAAGACTGCCAAAGCGATGGTATCTGCTAAGAGGCTAGGAAGTCATAGAGTAGAAAATGGTAACAGATGGTTTTGGTGAAGAAATAACTGATCCTTGATTATTTAAAAGCAATATATGGACTGTTGCTTTTAACTGGATGTAAAGAATCTGCTGGGAAATATGGAGAAGAGGCAGATGATGCTAAACAAGGCAGAAATAATGGTGATCCTTCTCACTTCCCTACAGTTGGATGGTAAAGAGGCTGAATCTCAGAGCCTGGATGCTCTGCATCAAGCAGCTCCACRGGACTGCACTCAGGCTACAGTCTAGACTACAACTCAGCAGTGGAAGCGTGCCAAAGTCTACGGAATMCTTCAAGGGAATGTCGCTTTTCTCTCCTCTCCTCTGTCTCTTCAGCCTTCTATCCAGGGCAGTGAGAAAGGCTAAAAATAACATTCCTGCTACAGATGTTTATACAGCAAAATTTTGTCATGGATTAAGGGGTCTGTGTTTGCACCCACATGTAGACTGTGTGCACACCCACACTTGGCAAATCCCACAAGATTTCAGGTGCTTTTAGAARTCTTTATTCAAGAGCTGGTTTGCAATAGTAAGCTTTTTTTCTTAAATAAAAGTCACTGCACACCTTCTGAATTCAAGAGCACATCAATGATTTAGTACGTATTTTAATCCCTGCTGGAAGTAGAATATGTGTAAAAGGGTYTTAAAAAAAATCAAGCATTAGGTTAGAGCTTGTCAAAAGCTTATCAGAACTTGCAAATCCTTTGAGAGCTCACTTTAAACACAAGCTTTAACTTCATCTCAGTGTTAGTACTGTTTTCTGCCAATATTACGAAAATATGAAGCCTGCAGCCTTGCGCTTAAAGACCAACATCTAATCAATAGCTTTGCACAGGATTCTTCCATCCCTTTTGAATCACTTTTCTCCGAGTAGTGAAGTCATCTTTCAGAGGAGGCTTTGCTGACAACCAGGGATGCCACATAGTGCATCGGAGGGATCCGCTGCTGGGATTCCTCACCAGCAATATAGAACACTAATAAGAATGTGCCATCTCAGAGTACTGCGAAGCTTCTAAATAACCCCAGAACTATAACTAAGCACTTGTAATTAGCTGCACACATAACACAGCATTACTCAAGGGACCCGTGTAACGGTGGGGAATGACAGGGAGTATCTGGTCTTGCCTGCTAATATAAAACAAACACAGGTTAGGGAAATGCCAGAAGCAAGCTGATTCTTAAGCCTTAAATTTGAACTACATCCAATTCAGGAAAGAGAATATAAGCTTTGCAGGAGCAGTTCCTTCAGCAAATTAAACCATCTTCCCTAAGACTCAGAAAAATTGGGAGGAATCATGAGAAGTAAAGCTTCTCAGGGGAAGCTGGACTATATCAAGAATTATCTTCTTTACTAATATTGAGTGGCTCCATGCCATTATATTGATGCTAAAAAGAACACATTTTGGAGTRTTAAATCTAGAACAACTGGAGTATGACTTAACCTGGCTGGTAGTAGGCAGTTTCAGAGGATAAGGGAAYATACAACTCGATTTCTTTCTCCTCATGTTGATCTTGAAAATAAATTTTAACTACTATTAACTATTTGATCTTGTTTGTGAACACTGTAGCTTTTAGCAATTGATGCCATTCATTGCAAGTAGTTGTATGAAGTAATAAGAAACTTTATTATCTTACAGTAGCTTTTAAAAAGATTTCTAAATCTATCATGGCATAGAACCAAGAAAGTTCCAAAGCAAAATATCTGTATTACTTACCACATGAAGAATTTTATTTTCTGTTTCATACACTGTACAATCCTGTAATAAAATAAACAAAAAAAAAAAAAAATCAATACACATTAATTTCAATTTCCTATTATGAAAGAAAAGAATGCGTTATGCTGCTAAATTTATCCCATATATTCAGGCATGTATCTGTAAAAAATAAGTAATCCCCATTTTTTGTCCCATCCAAAATGTTCCTTTTATACTTTTGGGAAACTCATGCGTGGTTAATCTCTGGGAAGTATCCTTCCCTTTAATGGAACAAACAGGCTGACAGCAATACTAATGTAGAGGAAGAAAAGGAACAGACTTATGATAGTGAGAAAAAAAATATTATCAACATTAATCAGGCAAGCCAGGAATTCAGTGACACTCAAGAGCTTGAGACACACAAGTCAGCCTCGAAAGAGGCTGCTTCACACCCACCATCAGCRGTTACCCTTTTTGGTCTGTTTCCTATAAAACATGGGAAGGAAAATGACAAGGACAACTGCTACAAAACTATTAAACAYGGTAGGTCCGCTCTGTCGACTCATTTCTCTCCCTCTGTTGTTTTAAAGCCCTGGTTATTTCAACCACAATGAGTAAGAAACTGCCTTCTTAATTCCTGTACCCTCTTGCACTTCCCAAGGTACATTCACAACCAGATGGGAATACACCTGGGCTTGCTCATGATGGGAACTTGTCCTGCAAACTAAGCTATTTAAGCTTTAATKGTTTCCTTTTCCTTCCCATTCCACCTTTCCAAGTTAAAGTCTTGCTATTAACCTATTTAAGGATTTTTTTTTCAACCACTTAAAAACATCTTCAAGCCTATGAAGTTCCAGAGCAGTCATTTTGCTATTTACCACTTTAAGCATAATAAATCCTATCACTCCACAAGCAAAGCCTCATAAATCAAAGAGATATTACAGGTGCTAGAATGCCCCTTGTTCTTCACCAAGGCATGCTCTCCTTCATTTCTTGAAGGACATCTCAGGGAAAAGACACTTTTTTACAAAAAGAAAATGCTTAAAAATTGCTTAYGATGGGGAAGTATCTCTCTTCCCACAGCGACCTACGCTTTTAGCGTCTCTCYGGCTCCCAGCCCAACAACCCCACGAGTTCCCCTGGTCGCGGGACACGCCAAGCTCCGCTCAGCGCCGCCACAGGCGCCTCCATCCCCGCCGGCCCCTCACGCTTCCCGCCGCGCATGCGCACGCGCCGCCGCGCCCGCGGCTCCAGAAGCTTCGCGGCGGCGGCCGCGCGCGCATGCGCAGAGCCCGCCGCGCCTGTGGGGCAGCCGCGGTGAGGGAGCGCCGCGCGGCCGCTCTCCCCCCGGCACCCAGACGGGTTTTACACGTGTCTGTGCGCGGCTCGGGTCCCCAAATGCCCCCGGGGCCTGCAAGGGAGGGCACGGCAGGGCGGATGCTCCTCTAGGAGCTGACGGCCCACCAGGTACCTGGGATTTATCCCTGGAGTTCTATCTGTGATGCCTACTTGAACACGTAGCTTACATCCAAGTGGACTGATACTTACAGACAGAAGATTAGGGTTGGGAAGCTGCAAAGCATTTCTCAAATTAGGATGGAGAACTGACTGGAAAGAAAAGCTTTTTATAGGAAAAGTTAACCAGGATATGAGAAGCAAAGACTTATTGAGGTTCTTGAGTAAAATGTAACTTACTGATAGACCTGGCAAGTTTCCTTAAAGCATTTCAGGATTCTCTGCATCTCAATATTTGCTCTTTTTTGGATATTAGCTGGATGGTGGTGCTAGTTGCACTGACTCAGCCTGGTGTGGAAGGGTTTGATGCCCTCGCTGTGCTCGTTCTGGTGGGCTCTGTGCCCGCCTTAGGCTCGGCTTAGGCCACCACCAGGCACCCACCCAGGCCCTTCTSTGCTCCCCTCACTGCTCCCTTGGGTGCTCTTTGGAGGCCCCTGTCCCTCAGCTGGGCTGCAGGCTCCTGAGCCRTTCACCCCAGCGCGAACGGCAGGAGCAGACAGGACAGACTGCCCCCATGACTCCAGGCACTGCATTTCCTTTGAAAGACCAACATTTTGGTATAGAAATTAATTTCTAAATGAATACATTTTTTAAAAGTACGGAATATTCAAGTTAAAATCAGGAGATGGCAATGCAGAAAAGAATTTATATTAGCATTCCATGGTAAAGCAGGCCTTTGATATTTCTTCAGCATTCATACTGTCATTTTCTACAGCACACACAAAAAAATCAATTAGCTTGGATAGTGATGCCAAGGGCAGTTTTCCCTACCAGTTTAACATGCTTCAAGCAGCATATCCAGCATTTCCTTTTAACCCTCCAAGCACCGARAGGACGAAACCACCACAGCAGGGCTTACAGCTTGACTTCACTGCTGATGCTCCTTTCTGAATTATGCCTTTAATTTGTGTGTCAGAAATACAGTGTGAGCTTCATCTTGAATACACTTAATTATTTCAGGTCAAAGAATAGAACATTTACATATAGGAATRCTGAATTGTACTGTTTTGCAGAGCTATATTTGTGTTGCATAGTTAAGTTTACATTAGCATTAAAAATGGTTTTGGAATTCCTTCCAAAGTATATGGACACTGACTTTTTAAAAATTATTTCAGATTACTTCAAATGAGAAGTTAAAAGCACTTGCAATATTATGCTAAAAATATTAAGATATATATATATAGGTCACAATATTCTTCTGATTTATTTATTTCTGATACATAGCAATGCACTAGGGATCTCATTAAAAACTTAAAGCATTAACATTTATAGAATCTTGGTCCATTTTTCATAGAAAATAAATAATAGTTACAGTGATACACTTTCCTGGTCTTTTGTTGGCAGATGGACATTAAAAAGTATTTTTTCTTACAGTTTAAAAACTTTGAAAACAGCTGCAGTTGATTTCTTCAGTGTAAAATGGTAACGTACAAATAGGAGAAAACAGTATTACAAGAGCCCTGCATTCAAGCCAGCTTATGCGTTGCATGAACATCCTTTCATGGGCACTGTACACCTTGGCAATTGTGATACGCTAAAACCACACTTGTAAAAATTCATCAAGAGAAAAGTAGGACTTGTCCTCAGCAACACTCTTTACAATTTTAGACAATGATTTTGAAAGAGAAATGCAAGTACTGCTGAAAATGTATGCAGAACCCAATCAAATCAAAGACTGATTTAACTTAAAACTGCAACAAAAGAGCATGTGTTAACTACTAAAAAGAAATAGAGACTCTATAAAGGAGAGACTCTGAAGAAAATTTAAACTTTGTGTTTGCACATTTCCCTATATGACATTGCAATAGGGAGCTACYGTAGTCTTTGAACTGCAAATATAAGAAAATTAAATTATATTTGTGTTTATGTAACATTAAATACACTTTTGGAATTCATACATTAAAAGAATGAGATTACTTCAAATTAGTTAAATGTAGACTGGAAAATACACTCAAATAACTCATTTTACAAAGTTTAATTAAGGAAAGGAACACAATCTATATTTAGAAAAGAGTGAACAGATGTTGGATAGCAAAATTTTCTTTAGCACACACAGGTAAAACAAGATTAGGGGGCTGAGAGCTGAAGTCTGCAAAGTTCCTACTGAAAATAACACCCATGTTTCTAACAAGGAAGGAAACTGCTGAATCACGGAGTCATTCAGGTGGAGGGACCTCTGGGGTTATCTCACCAGACCACCTGCTCAAGGCAGGGCTAATTTCAAGGTAAAACAGGTTCAGGAAACTATTAAGAGACATMAAAATTCTGCATCAGTTAGAATCTAAACTAGGCAGCCTTTTAAAATATACACTTCATCCGAATGACAAATTATTTAACTAAAATACGATAAACACGATAAAATCTATATCTTCTCTGAGTTTATCTCAATAGGGCTATTCAAACATGAATAAAGAAGAAGAAAGTGCTAGCCTTTTGTTGGAAATAAATCATCCTGAGATGTGATGATGTTCTTTGATAAGGTACAGACAAACTTTTGTTTAACGGATGTTTGTCCTTGCAGTTTAATGCACATATCAAAGTCYCTATCACAGGCTTTCAACATCTTAAATATAAAGAAAATAATATCAATCAGAAAAAAAAATTGGATTCTAGAACTGGTGAACTCTTTTTAGTGGATGTGTTTTAAGAACCAAATTTAAATCCTGTTCCACCCTAGTTATTGCAGTTTCCATWCCCCAGATGTAGTTTTGCTCTAGAACTTAAGCCTGTTAGTCTGTCTCAAAGTTAGAGCCACAATATTTGAAATTAAGTCAATGGAAAACCTGGCATTTGTAAAACTTAGTTCCTGATCTAAAGTCATGTGGGTTTTGCACCTTACAATCAGCACATSATCAGGGAAGAGCTTACCTCAAAATCAGGATACCTCAAGGCTTCTGCAGTGTTTTACATAACTAGAGTCTTTTATAGTTTCCCCACTTTTTCTCGTGAATGAGAGGTGATAAGGGATAAGAGAACTAAGTAAACAAAGTAGATTCCAAAGGACAAATAACAAAAAAAGCCTCTAAAATTAGAGATAAATGCTCTTATACCTTGCGTAAGATACACCCCACAGATCAACGGTCAACTACCTATATACTATAGCATTTATATGCTATGGAAATAATAATATACAACATTGTAATTCATGTAGTTCTTTTTTTTTAATAAATGATCTCATTTTCATATTCATACAGAGTACCTAATCAAGACACTAGAAAACTTACCTGCCTATTACATGAAGATTATGTGACACAGGTGCAAACAGTACATGCTACTGAGAAAACCCACAAGGATGTTAAGCTTTGGCTATATCAAAGCCTGACACGATGTCTCCATTTACAGGTAATTTCACCCTGGGTGCCAGCTGCAAGTTACGTGCGCAGAGCACGTTCATTTTGCACAAAATACATTTTTAAGTTGAAGTTTCTCATTGAATTTGCCAAATACATAGCCACGAGTGTCAYTTTTGCTCTAAATTAGACATGTAAAAATTAACATTATTTGTAAAACAAACAGTATCTGAAAGGGTTCAGTTTTCTAATTGTTATGCCTTTCAATATGTATTTTTGGCCATATCTAAGACTGCAGTTCTGGTTTAGGTGAGACATCTTTGCTTTCACACATCAAGATCAATTTTCTTCGCATTTAGTAACAGCAAATCTGTTTCCCTATGAAGGATTTTGTTTTATCTACTCTTTTTGGTGCTAACTGCCCAGACTTGACTCTATTTGTGAGTCACCTGAAAAACTAAATAAATATTTTCCATTTTGAAACATCTTGGAGTTTGTGCTAAAGATTCTGAAGTGGAGTTGTAGAACTGAGCAACAAGCAAGCCAAACTATTAGTGATGGAGGCGAATGGCATCCCCTCTGCCAAAGGCAGTCGAACGAATGAGGAAATGAAGACAATTCAAACTTAAAAAGATTTTCACCTAGACCACAGGGGGAAATCAAAACTCTGACAAAGTGCTGCAGGGCACAAGCCAAGTGCAGGCTTACAACACTGTAGACACATTTTGTTTTGCTTAGTCTGTAAATCAAAAATAGTCTCAAGTTTTCTCTTACAATGTGATCGTAAAGATATGTAAATAAAATGCCTACCAAGGAGTGTGTAAAACATGAAGAGAGAAAAAGAATCACTGTCTTGCACTGCAAAAAGGCATAAAGGGCAAGGCACACACCGATATCTCTGCAAGGAAAGCAAGCTGAATATTGTAACATTATTGGCAAAAATACAAATAATTAAGGCCAGGACCAATGCACCTGCTTGTCTTTTTTTTTTTTTTCCTGCAAAAACTAAAAATAAGTTGAGAAAAAAAAATCCTTAAAGCTCACATGAACATAGTGCTCCAGGAAGCCTTTTTAATTTAACTGATTCTATGATTGGTTCTCTGTGAGGGTGCAAGAACTGGGCTGGCACAGGGCAGAAACAGGCAATGGAAACAGCTCTTCTGAAGGGAGTGCCAGTTGATTGTGTGCACAAAACTGCAGGGTTAGCTGATCTTTTTTCTTGCTTCATTTCCTCCAATACTACCTTTATCCTCCTCTTTCATTTTGTTTCAATACCTGCTCTCCTCTAAGCTCTCCACTTGTTCCAGGAACACTATTTTACCTTCCCATATTTTCATCTAACCACAAGGAGAGAAACTTAGCATAAATATTTTCTATAGACTAAACTGGTTTCCATTTAGTCTTTCTGTACCTGTCACCTCTTGTCTAATATCGGGGCAGACAGTGTCACAGACTGACATTATGTGTATACCATGTACCACTAGAGAAACCAGGGAAATTAATTTTACATATCTGTGATGTACTGTACTACCACTAGGCAGTGCATAGCAGTAACAATAGTAGCCACCTTTGCTCCAGATTTGTTTCATTTATTGCTATGAATATTTCTTGTTAGTCTCTAAACATTTTTAATGCAACTTCCAGCTGCCTTGGCTCCTCTTGAAGGAAAGAAGCCATAGTCCAGGCTTGGAAAGAATCTGTAGGTACTGTTAGAACTAGWCCCTGAAAGACTTTCCATCAGTGATATTTTAATCTGTAATAAATGGATAGTACTACTTAAGCTGTTTGCTACTGTGGCTTTTCAATGCCCTCATGGTGACAGACTTAACATCAAACTGTCTACTCAGAAGATGACTATTTTCACCTACACGGGACCCTTCAGTCTGTGCTGGCACATGAGGGCAGATGGAGTCCAAAAATCTTCCCATTGCTCCCAGAGAAAGAGAACACRTAATTAACAGATGACTCGCACAGTTTTGCCCGGGAAGGGAAAGCAATGCTTTTACTATTGTGATTCTTCAGCAGCAATGTGRAGGGGACTTGAAAAGAGCAGAAGATAAAGTGTCCTACCTGTTGCACAATGGTCGTTAGTTCCAGGCACAGTTGAACAATGTTGTTTTTCAGCAGTGAATATTCTGTCACGCTGACAAATGGAGACCTGTCAGAAAGGTACAGGAGATGTGTACAGTGTAAGCAGGACAGAATCCCTGTTTACAATATAAGAGGTTTTTAAACAGACTCATGGTTAGTAAATTTGTTTTCATAAAGGCAAATATAATTGGGTTAGTTAAATGTTTCATTGCTTAATTGGGGGAGAAAATCCCCAAATAATCTACTTTCCAATAATGYACAGTATTTTTTTTTCCTTCCCTCGGGAGTCCTCATGGAGGCTAAAGGAAGCATCTGCTATATTAGTCTGCAGAAATTTCAATCACCCAATCATGACAATCTCCAGCAGAAAATTACACGACTTTTATGAAGTATGCCTTGGAAACAAGAATCAAAGTAGGCAGCAAGGATATAAAATGGATTTTTACAAGAACACAGAAAGTTATCATTCTTGCGGAAGGTAAAACAGGGTGCTGCAAACAATTGCAAGTTGTCATGATTTTTTAATGGCTTGTTCCAAAGACAGCATTTCCAGTGTGACACCAATCYTCAGAAGCAGGTAGCACCTTAATTCAGAGCGCAAAGCAATGCTTAGTTAGCCACTGAACAGCTTCCTGCACACACGGGCTTTCTTCAGGCTTTCCAAATTCTGACTGAATTCTGACCCCATTTGAATTTACAAGAACTGACAAGGTCATAGCCCGAGAGAATATGACTGCTGGCACTGGGTTAGGAAGATGTCACCAGAATTATACATACGCTGTGAAGGRGGGTGATTTACTCTAACTGTGATTTCTAAGGTGCCATTTATATATCCATTCAGATTCCAGATAAAGCTATTCATTGCTATAACCAAAGAGACAGAAGCCAAAACATAAATTCTACGTTTTGGTTTCTCTCTTGCTACAGCCAAAGTTCTAACTACATTTATTCAGAGAATTCCTTGTAATCCGATTCTCAATTCAAAAATCAGCAGCAGTCACTAATGATTCTCCAAAAGCACAACTGTAACTAAGGTATCAAATTGATAAAAATGATTTAGTTCAATGTCAGCTTCTCTTTTTTATCTTTTTGCTGGGTAAAGGGTGGTTCAAATTCCATAACCCTTTCTTACTTCCCTTCCTTTCTGATAAGGCCAATGATGCTACCACTTAGGGCAGGGATTTGTCAGCTTGGAATTGCACAGGAGTATTCCTTTTTCACAAAATGCTTAAATAACATGAGAAAAATTCAACATCCACCTGCTAGGAAAGGCTAGCACATTTTGACTGCCAATATTTGAGAAATTTGCAATGCAGAACTTGAAGTTGGAATTCCAAACCTACCATTTTAATACTCRGAGAAAGAAAAAAGGCAAAATAAAAGCCAGCACTGCAAGCGAAAAAGAAAGAGGAAGTGCAGAAGACAGCAAGAACATGTAAAGGGACAAGAAATAGTAAATTACCTGTCCAGCCAGGCTAGTAAGTTCTTGGCAGCACCAATCAGGTCAACTACAGAGGTAAGAAAGTCATTTGGCAGTCGTCGGGAGGCCCTGCCATCGTAATGGCCACTCCTCCTTCTACCCGTTATAAAGTTCTGAAGGTTTTTGGCTGAGGCGTTCAGCTTGTGAGACAGCGTTCTCAGATTCTCAGTCTCCAAACCATAATTCTGAGGAGAAAGAAGAATACGCAGAATTAAGTGAAATACTCCGTTGTCAGCTCTGTGAACAACCCTGGAGTTAAACATTGTAAATTTGATTTCCCTTTGACAAAGACTGGGCTAATGTGGGTGCATGGGGTGAGGCTACACAACAGGCTGCTTTTTTTTTTAGCTAGTCAAAAATTTACATCCCCCAAACCCCTTGAGGTCCAACAAAATCACTGAGGGAGAAGTGTAGGGAGCACTGATAATGCGGGGCATCGCAGTCTCTCCCGTTGTGAAGATGAGGCAGTCCTTTGCCTATAGTCCTTGCTGTGGTTCAAAGTGAACCAACTCTAGGGTATCTCTTCCCTCCAACATTAGGTTTTAGGCAGTCCCACTGCATGGATCCACTCCCCAAGACTCATGTTAGTTCCTCTTCTAGGTGGTAAAGACTACAGCCTAGTAGTAGYCTTCTTAGCCTTCAACCTTAGCCTTCTTAGCAGAACTTGCCCTTTTTTTTTTTTATACTGTGAATAAGGTCTGGCTTATATAGCCATAATCACTTAGACCTTTACGGGAAAATCCCTTCCGGAGCCCTGTTTCTGTGGGTGAACAGCTATTCTGCAGTGAAAGCCAAGATGAGAAGAGTCAAATTAGGTCAGACCAGAGATGACTGCCTAGGGAAGAAAATGAGAACAGAGCAGGCATGTAATAACAGYGATTAGCGATGCAGAGACTTCAGCCAGTGACACTGCCTCGTATTTAGCTGTCCTTAATGGATTTTCTTCCATCCTTCTAAATCTGATGGGCTGTTTTGAATCTATGTAGAAGTTTTCACACTGAAGTCCCTTCCTCCCCATTATCATTATGGCCTTTTACCACCCAGCCAATTCCCCACTTCGACATAGGCAACAAGCRCAAAGATATTTGAGTGCAAGATACTAAATAATTCACTCAGATTCACATTGAAAGTCTCAAAAAGACTGAATTGATGACAGGTCTTTTGCTGCCACAACTGCATGCAGTATTTCAAGAACCTGAGTTACAATAAAATGCCAACTATTCAGTTTGCTCTTCAAAAGCACCTAAACAAAATCAGTGTTCAAACTATGAATGGATTGACTGCTATTAATTTCAACAAGGCATATTTTAGTATATATAATGTTATAGAGGATGACTGATCATCAGTATCACATGGTAATTTTCTGCCAAAGATTAATTCTTAAAATATAAATAACAGCAAACAGTATGTAGTCTTGCTGAATTGCAAGTCTAGTGCAGTCTTGCTGAATGCTATTCCTATAGTGAAGAGTTGTTTCCAACACCAAAAGGAAAAATGTATTGAATGATCACAGATATATGAAACTGGTTGAATGGACTAATGCAAAACAGAAACATATATTTAATTAAATTGTTTTCCAGGTTTGAACCAGTTATGTCTGTTGCTTAGGTCCAGGTCCTCTSTGCAAGCCCTCCTGCCTCGCAAAGTTCACCCTTGGAAATAAAAATAGTAAATAATAAAATCAAACTCACCCCCCCCTCAGCTTGGAGTTCATCTTACTAGGAATAGAAACACAGACATTGCTATTAGCTTACTGTAAAGGACTTTGGTTTTAAAATAACTTCAAATACTAGGGACAGAATTAATTTGTTTCATTATTATTTGCATACCTTGTCTAAAGCATCACAGTTGGTCAATAAAGCTTGGAAGCATCAAGCTTAAGACTGAAGAGTGGAGCAAATGAAAGATAAATAATTGAATAATTCTCTTCAGCTTTTCTCCAAAACAAGTATTTTACAGCAAACTGCTTCAGTAAAAAGAAGGCTGGTTTTGTAAAGCTTATGGTTAAGCACCAAATTGGGCTTGATATTAGTATGCCATCTGCTTAAAATTTACAACTTACTTTCCTTAAACCTCCGCAGGAATTCCCTCCCTTACCTCKTTTTCCCCTCCGCTCTGCTGGTGGCAGGAAGATGCCCAAGTGGATGTGTCCTCGTGTGTGTACCAGCTAGCAGACCATGCCAAGCAAGGCTTKGATCCCCCTCGGGAAGCGCCTCATCTCAAACCCTCCACACCATGGTGTAATGATGATAAACCAGAACCTCCTGCCTTTATCTCCAAGCCCAGACTTGTTCCTTTGGTAACAAGCAGAAACTGCTTCTGCCAGTAACTCTTTATTGGATAAAAGCTCTAGGAATCTGTCAGGTTACTTTCTAGAAAACCCGAGTAGGAAATGGAGACAGCGCTAACTAGAGCGGTTACTGAAAGTCACTTTTACCTGGGAGCAACGGCCTCAGTGTCAGGGAGTGAGGGCTGGATACCAGTAGCCTGTTCCACTGGAGAAATTTATATTAAATCATTGGAAAACACATAAAATTGAATTAAAAAAATCACCTAGTGAACATACTGTTTTTCCTTAAGCAGTCTTAATTAACATTCTAACAGTAACCTTAAGTAATGCCAATACAAAAATTTAAAATACAGCCAAAGATAGATAAAGTACGTCCATACAGATAATCAGGAGATGAAAGGAAGTTATTCCACACAGTAAAAACGCTGATGCATGTCAGTGATTTAGCTAAGATTTTATAAGATACAGCAAAGGGAAAAAGATGAAATATTACAGAAGTGACAGGGAATCGATATCTCTGTAGAAGACTATTTATTGCATCGGCCTAAATTTAAGGTTGCCTCCAATGTCAGATAGTGATGCATTAAATGAAAAGGAGAAACAAGTGTAAAATGGAAAGAAGAAATGTTTAAAAATTAATCAGGGGAGGTGTTGGCTCTGAGTGGCTGCTCGTGGTCTGTGGCGCTCGGGCTCCGGAGCCRTGAGGCGCCGCGCGCGACACGAGTCCTGAGGGAAGCGACGCTCCCTCCCGGGCTCGCTGGCCAGGAACGAGTGGACGAGGTGATGGGGAAGAACAGGAGATGGTTCCGGAGGAGGAAACGGCAGACAGGTGGGTGCGCGCGTACGTGTGAACTGCTTCTGCTAGTCAAGCACGTTGAACAGGCATGATGACAAGGCTGGTAAAAACTGTGCTTGGTGGTAATAGGTAGGTGGGTAACCTCACTGTGTACACATTATATACATACATATATATATCTTTATTTWTATATATATATRTATATATATGTAAAAAATCTCTTCTAATTCCTGTAGGCCTCTCATGTATGATGCTTACCCTTGAGTATCAGTCTCAAACCTGCCAGATTTAGTGGTCATCGTGGCTACCGTGTCAACYCTCAGTTTTTACAGCTGTACTCAGCTGTGCTCTCAGTGCTAAAAGCGTGTTTTTTATTGTGGGGCACACCATACCAAAGTACRTGCCTGAGCCTGGAAAATTCTCTTTGCTACCAGGTGATTTCCTTCTCTGCAGGATAAATCCTAGATATAATTCCTGCTTTAAAAATAGTGCCCAAATCTCTAAAAAGGGTCAAGAGAGTAGCACTAATATACAAATGATTATTTTTCATATCAGGAGTAGGAAAACAAAACAAACTCCACTGACATTTGCTCCATTTTCATTTCATGTTCCCTAAGCTTTATAAACAGCCATTCTGCCTAAATATGTTATATTGTTGGCAATGGATGTACCAGGTTTAGGTAGAGAATACAGAATATTAAGAGTTATCCCAAACACGGTCTTGCAAGGGAACTACACTGCCATGGAGCTTGCATGCTCCTTATTGCAAAGGAGCTCCTTATTGCATTGCCATGGAGATTTGCACCTTATTGCAAAATCTGGATCACAAACACTGCTCACTGAGAACAGAAAGGACTCACCTAAATCCTCCTACACTGCAGCAGGGGAAACTGTTGTAAGAAAAGCAAAAGGGAAAACAAAACTTGAACGTGAAAAGCCATGGCTGGCAAATCTATTAAATGTTTACTTAMGCTTTTTCACACAAAAGCAGCGTTCAAACAGTAAGATAATTTTTATGTTCCCTTCATGTAGCATATGGCAGTATGATAACCTTCACTTTTAAAAGCCAGTAAGTTTCACAAAACTCTTCTGCTGAGTTCCATGACAGACTCCTTCAGGAGTATATTTTAGCTTGGAGTTCAGCAATTCCTAATGGCAAATCCAGTGATAGGAGTTGGAAGAAAGGGTTTCAGGAGGTGAAAATTAAATGCAAATGTGAGATCAGAGCCAGACTGGCTTCTTATAGTGAAGTATAATTAGCAATAAGGCCAAGGTGGGACTGTGTTTGAAGTGACACTTGCCAGTGAGCTGCAAAACTGAGTTAGATTTAAAGGTAAGTCAGTTTGTTGTCTGTAAAACGTATTTTTTTAATTTTAACAATTTCATCCTCCAAGCAAATTCTCTTACTTTCCAGCCCATTAGAGCCGCTCTCTAGCCCAAAGTTCCTGCTCCTCTTGGTTTGAGACTTTCACTTCACTGGTTCCTAGTGGTCAGCGTAGAAAGAGAAGAGAAAGGACAGGCTGCCCCCAGGGCTTTGGCTGTTGATTGGGTGGGTTTTTTTTTTTTTTTTTTGGAAGTACAGGAAAAGCTGAACTGACACACGGTGAGCTTAATTAGGGCCTTAATTTGTTCAAAAAAGAAACCTTCAGGTACATTTTTTCCCACTACAGGCCATGTTTTGGCAGACCCATTCTCAGATGACACAGGTTGCCTGAAGTTGCTGCTGTGGAGCCCTGTGCTCTTGGCGGCAGCTCCTGAGGGGAGCTGTGTCCCTCCTCCGCTTGGGAGGCGCCTCTGGCTGGCCGGCCCCTGCAGGCCTCCTGTCCCCACGCGCGAGCACCCACTTCCAGGTTCCAGGCTTTTGGAACACAGGACTTCTTTACTGGACACTCATTAGCACCTACTCAAGGAAAACTGGTAAAAGCAGTGCTAGAACGGGCAAAACTATCCSGTCCAATAATCCTTGTGAAAGATTTTACAAGCTGAAGTAATAAACTGAAGAGGTAAAAGAATTTTTTTCATGTAATTCATAGAAGATTTAATTTAAAATAATAAGTGAATTATTTTTACTATTTTAAAATACTAAAATTATGTATTAA